CTGATCGAAATTGATTCGTATTCATGTTACATATTGGAAAAACCATGAAAACCAACTATGCAACCAGTCCGTTCGCCTGAGATGGAAACCAAACTAGGTTGAATTACCAGTACTGCTTTATCTTGAAGAGCTAAAAATATATCCAAAAAAGAGGGCAAGAACTCGTAAATAAGAAGAAAAATAAACTGTGGTCTTTGCGAAGTATGCCTTTTCTCACAGATCTTGATTCCAGTTCTAATTCCATATTACATTGTAGAGACATTGGGTTATTTGGAAGCAGGAGATGTGAAAAATGAGCAACGCCTTCGCCGGGACTCCAACCATGGACCTCTCGAATACGCGTCGAGCGTGCTCACCACTACACTACGAAGGCATGCTAAGAGGGTGGGAGAAATACCTTATAACATTATTACCAAACAGGTAAAAATAGCGTGTCTGCTGTTGGAAATTTTCCTCAATGTCGTGATACACAAGTAATTGCAATTAATGTACAGTATTATTTAAAACATATTGTTTTCTTTACGAAGCGGCAACCCATGCTATATAAGAATTGATCAAATTTAAATAGCATGTTGTTTATATATGCGAGATTTACGATTGTAGAGTCATTAGGTTAACTGGAAGCAGAAAAGATGAAAAATATGCAACCGCCTACGCCGGGAATCGAACCACGGACCTCTGGAATACCGGCCCAGCGTGCTACCGTTACACTACGAAGGCACGTTAGGGAAGTGGGAGAAATACCTTATACGATGAAAGCTATATATTTACTATTTAATTCTTGTCTCCATTTAAATATAGAATATAAAAATTAATAATTTTTTCACTCATGTCATCTTAGAAAGGGGACCCAGAGCCCCCCCCCAAAAAAAAAAAAAAAATAATAAAAAAATATTTAATAAAAAAAATCTTCAGATTTTATAGTACACCCAAGGAGGCGTTTTTATTTATTTACACATACATACATTTTTTAGAGCACTTGGATTAACGCCTCTTTGGGCTAAAAATATTTAAAACAGCATATCTTTAGAATTTCCTATAGACAGTCTTACGCGCTGGAGATAAAAATATTTTATTCCGTACAGTGTGTTACTACTGCGTGCTTTGAAATCATTGAATTTCTTCGTTAAAGTTTAAAAAATATGATATTTTGTAGAAAACTTCAAATCTGGAATTCCAAGTCATACCTTGAATAATACATAAAAATGCTTTAAAATATAAAAGCCGCGTTTTCTTTGGCACATAAATAAGAATAAAAACAAATATATACATCTTATGTTATCCTCGAACATTTAATTGATTTATGGTTATATACAAACTGACACCATCGTTTTTGGAATCAGAGAATCATTCTTCCTTAAATTGAGATAAATTATATCCCATTTAAATTTTTTCCCAAAAACAGGAGGAGGGAAAGTAGTGAAATCTTGTAAATCAACATAACTTATTAATATTTTAACATAACGTTCTTATATTTTTAAGCAATTATTCCGCCTTCCCTAACCCCAATTAAACTGATTTTATCTCAACTTAATTGCATTAAAAAGCATATTCTTCATCATTAAGATCACTCCATTTTAAAAGTATCATCTTTTCTGACAAGATCAGTCCCTTGTAGCTCCCTTAATTCCTTAATTCGAAAAGAATAGATAAAATATTTACGATTATCCCTTTCCTAATTTAATTTACTGCGGTATAGTAACGAAGGAGAGGTATTTTGAAGATACAACGCCTTATTTTTTTATTTGATACTAATCGGTTTTGAGGGTCGTAAAAAATCGCCAAACTATTGTTGATGCCAGTGCTGCCAAAAATAAGTGCGGCAACCCTAACGCAAGAAAGGAAGTATAGTAGTAAATACCTAAGATTGATGTTTTAATTTAGATGAAAGATTAATTTCATACAATACTTTTTATTATTATAATTTATATAAAAAAGGCTAAACATGACTGAATGGAAGCATAAGAGTAAATAACTATTTCAGATCATTATTTATGGCCCACCAGCGGCCGAGCGGTAAAGTCGCTGAATACTGGTAGTTCGGTCCGAGGTTCGAATCCCGCGAACGGGCTGGCTGCATGGGTGTTTTCGTGGTTTTCCCCATGTGTAACGTGTATACGAGCCAGTTTTCCTTAGCAAGTCCTCCACGAAGGCATCCCTCAGGCAGATAGCCCTCGTGTGCTTTGCCATAATTAAATACACCACACCAGATCATTATTATAATTTGTATAAAAATTGCTAAATATAACTGAATGGATGCCTGCATCGCTATTTCGCTACCGAGTTATCGCTAAAGCATACTTTTATCTCGTTGGTTGTTCAAACATAATTTTTCTATAATGAATGATGCCTTTTCTTTGAAAAAATTCTCGGTAAAGTGCAGAATCGCCCACTTAATTGTTTGCCGCTTTTCACAAGGGTAAAAACAATTGGATTTTTGTCAATTTTCTGTTACTTTTTAAGTGAAAATAGGTCGATGTGTACATAGATAAAGTTGTGCGCAGTGCCATTTTTGTGCGATTCTGGGATTTTTTTTTTGAAGTGAAAATAGGTCGATATGCACATGGATACCGAGTAAGTGCAATTTTTAAAAACGCGTCAAGATGTTGGTGATTCTGCACTTTACCCAAAATTCTATTGCATACTTTTCGTCATAGGCAATTCCAAAGTGTTAAATCCATAGCGATTTAAAAATTAAACTAGTATTGCAATGGCGTCTTAAGAAATATAGAACTATATAAACTTACGCAATCTGAAATCAGCGCGTACGCTAGATTTGGCGCGTTGTTAAATGGACGCGTTTGCTAGATTTGGCGCTTTTGCGCATACATTTTCGTTGCAAAATTTTTCTTACGGTCTTCAAAACGGATAAATTAAAGTACCTTTTATTTCAACAGGCTAAATCTCAGTATACGAGGATAGTACTTAATGACAATACTAGGTATTGGTTATGCTTGCGTTTTCCAAATTGCGTTTTTCATGTTTCGGAAGCACGACTTAGGATATGTATTAGATTTATACATAGCATTGTTCTAATGTAGGTATTTTGACACAAAATCAGACTTTTTCTGAAATAAAATATCAATTTTATTCCATATTTCGATTCTATGACTCAAATTATGCCAAACTGCAAAGTTTTGTAAAAATCGCACGAGCAGTTTTTTAAAAATTAGCTCTCAAAATTTTAGCTCTTCCGTGTTCATTTAATCTTGTATATATATTTATTAATCTCTCCTTTTTTTAATAAATTTATTTGACTCTTCCTTTCACATTTCGATATTAGGATTATTCCAAATAAAATTCACCCATTTTTTTAGATTTATTTCTAAAATATATATTTTTATAAATTTTTCGAAACATTTTTTGAATTATAACCTATAAAAGTTTTGCCATCATCTTCAAGCAGATGTATTCCTAAGTATACCTGCAAACAATTAGAGTGTTTTTATTCAAAATTTCTTAAGTATACACGCGAATTTACATATTAGCGCGTTTCAAAATTTGGCATATTTGTTATAAGCGATAGTAACGCCAAATGTGGTTTGCGCTCTTTGTTAAAATTATTTGAAAGTAATCGCTTTAAAGTCGCTGAACACTGGTAGTTCCGACCTAGGTTTAATTTCAGGAGAACTGTCTGGCTGCTTGAGCGTTTTCGTGGTTTTGTTTAACATGTATACGACCCAGTTTCCCTTAGAAAGTTCATTAAGGCATCCCTCCCCTTAGGCAGAGCGCCCTAGCGTGCTTTACCGTAATCTCAATAAACCCAAAATAAACCAAACCATTGTTCATTATGAGCTTGCTTCTTCCTTCACTCCAGTGAATTATGCTGCTAATCTGTAGTGCATAGGATATGATTGTTAGTCTAATGGTTTTTTTTTTTTTAGCTTTTAAAAATTATTTTGTAACTGAGTTGTTGCCAAAATTTTCGACTTTGTAAACAAACCCGAGTGACGTATTGCAAAAATAATCATTGAAAGAAAGTTTCAGTATCATATTTCAATATCCTGTTATATTGTGAAACTTTCGAAATGCTATCGTATCACGAATTGAAGAAAAGGTATTAGTTACTGGATGTTTAGCTGTATACACTGTTCAGTATATTACATACTTTAGAATAATATCCAAATTTTATGTATATGTTTTATTCTAATATAAATAAATTATATAGGAAAATTAAGTTCGCAGCAGAAAATGTATATCTAAAATTTTGTCCGCCAGTGTCCGAGGAGATAAAACAGCTGAAAACCGAAAGTCCGATCCTGGTAAAAGAGTTCAGTTTTTCTTTCCATATGTAACCGTTTTTAGGTATAAGGAGCCAGTTAACCTTAAGAGTGTGTGTGTGTGTGTGTGTGTGTGTAATTATGGAAAAGCCTCGAGGGCTATCTGCCTAAGAGGAGGGATGCCTTCGTGGAGGACTTTCTAAGGGAAACTGGCTCGTATACACGTTACACATGGGGAAAACCACGAAAACGCCCATGCAGCCAGCCCGTTCGCGGGATTCGAACCTCGGACCGAACTACCAGTGTTCAGCGACTTTACCGCTCGGCCTGCTGGTGGGCAGTTAACCTTAAGAAGTTCTCAACGAAAGCATCCTTTCTCATAATAGATAGTTCTCGCTATTAGTGCCATAATCTTTAAGCAATGTTTAAGATTATTTTCATGCTTCGTATAGAATCAAGGGTGGAGAGTAATAATTTTATTATATTTTAAATTATACGGATTTCCCTCTGATAAAGTGTCACCCTGATGGTTTTAGATTTTGTCAGCAAAATGCAATATATTTTCAAATCTCAGACCTTTAATGGTGAAATTATGTATAAGAAATGAATATCTTTTAATGGATTTCTATACTTATATTTTTTAAATACTCCTTTCCAACTCGGAAATGTTCATCTCAAACTATAATATTTAGAGTATCACTTTTCAAGCATAATATATTTGTGAATTTGAACTTAACATTTTTTATTATTTTCTCTGATGTTGACTTTTTTCACATTCAGGGCACACTTTTACAAGCATAAATGGCTTACACTTTGAGTGGAAAATAACCTCTCAGCTGGATAGTCATGCAAAAAAAACAGCAGATGGAGAGGAAGTTATCAGGTATTTACTTGTTTATACTGTTAGAAAATTTTTTATCTAAATACTAAAAAATTATAAGATTAATTAACAGCGTGCTCTTATATAATTGTTAAAACTTATAGTTTAGATCAACAGTTTTAATTAAAACATATAGATAGTGATGACTCAAATGGATTTAATTATTCGACTGGCATATTTAGTTGCTTGAACTCGCAGCTTACTTTGGCATATTTAGTTACTTGGACTCACAGCTTAGTTTGGCATATTTAGTTACTTGAACTCACAACTTCGTTTGGCTTGTTTAGTTATTGACTTTTAATTTATATTACCAACAAATATTATTTAAAGCGTGAGAACCGCTCCAACAATCCCTTTGCCTTCTGTTTTGTTGTCATCCTCAGTTCAGGCGCCGAAACGGTAAAACCAGTGACCCCTGGTCGTTCGAACCCGGTTCAAAGTCCGGCGAACAGACTGGCTGTATGGGATTTCGCGATTTTCCGCATGTATAACGTGAAAAGTCCTCCAAAAAGGCATCTTGTTCAATGAAGAGATAATTTTTCGAGTTCTCTGCCATAGTTTAAATAACATAATCCAATCAAACCCTTGTTCAAGGTTTATATTCTTGACGCTAAAATTTGCCGTTGTTTATCCAATCCAGCCACTGTCATCTGATCTCTCATTGCTTTGATTCAAATGCTGGACGAGTCTGAGATTAGTTAATAAGATGCGCAGTTCCAGTGCGCTAAGTGGTTAAAGTAGTGAACTTCTGATAATACATCTCGGATTTATCTTTCAAGTACTCAATGAACTGGGTGCAAAGAAGTTACGTGTCTTTTCGCATGTAGTGTAAATATTAGCCACCATCCACGAAGTATATACTGTTTAGACAAGTAAATTTCGAGTGCTGCCAGCCAACTTCCTAAGATTTCTTTATTTACCACGTTTGCGTAAATAGTATGCAATAAAAAGTGATTTTAATCATCCCTTCCAAATGTAAATTCATATAAGCTATATGCTTTAACAAAGAAAAACAACAAAAATGAATGAATGAAGAAAATGAATAAATGAATGAAGAAAAATGATTTTGCTTTTTCTGATGTTTGAGACGTGTTTATACGTTTCCAGCCAATCAACTTTTACGAGGCTGTAGTAAGGCTGAAGGAATTCAATCCTTGTAGCCTTTTAAGTTAATACCTTGCTTTTTATTTAAAATAGATACTCAGCAATATTTTCTTTCCTTTTTCCATTCCTTCCCACCCTCATAATGGCGGGCACTTATTAAACATTCTACAAGAAGTGTTATTTGATGGTTTCATCAACGAGATATTACGCATGCGAAGAGTAGAAATTCACCCCTTTTTTGTCCTAACGGTCAAACTTTGTTAAATGGGATAGCTTCGAGGGCGGTTGCGGCAGTCTAAAGCGATTAGCTGTTCAAAATTTTCATTGCATGATAACTATAGCATTTCTTGTAGTTATAAGTTATCGCTTTTCTTAGGTAAATAACTAATAAATTAATTTTGTTATATATATATAAATCAAAAATAATTTCAACTGCACGTGAAAATTTAATGCTTTTATTTTTAATAGCAGTTTTACTTTCGGAGTGTTCTCCAGAAAAACAATTAAACCAAGAAGAGAAATCAAGAAAAAAGATTATCATAGTCTTGCGTTTCTTTATTTTTAATATCATGGTTAGTTATTTAACTAGTTGAGGAAAAAAATTGAAGACTTTCTGCCCTAAAAGGGTGGGCTGCGAAGAGGATTCTGAGAGGGAAAATGACCCGTACGTTCCTAACGTTTGGAGTATGTTGGAGTATGAAACCTGTATTTTGCGCATATAAGATTTTGGGCCAGAAATACACTACTACTATCCTAACGCTTGAGAACGCCAGAGAAATCCCATAGAACTAGCCTATTCTATCGTCGGAAGCCGAAATCAAGCTGAATTACCAGACTCTCGTAGTTTTAGCCACTTTGGTACTAATGAGCTCCAGTTACTGCGTTAAAATTCTAAAATGAGAATTATTTGTAAAATAAATTGCACCTAATTCAGTGACTGCCTAAATTATTATACTGCAATCCACAATCATTCGTTGTTCATCTTTAATAGCGAGGTATTTAACTAAGATGGAATCGAGATTACTTCATGAGAAACATAAAAGAAATAGACTTTGAAGCTCAAATAAACCGGTAAGACCGAGTAGTACTTACTGACAGAAATATTAAACCTGGTTGTCGGAAATGAAAGGAGAAGTAAACCGGATATGATGTCGATGCTTCGCAAATGCTTCCCAAATTCAAGAGACCTGAAAAGAAGATAAGGAAGATTGATTGTGCTTTTTTCCCCCCGATGCTGTTTCCTGAATCTTGTCACCTTTTATTTGGTGCTCATTACTATGTGACAGATAGATTTCTATTTTTGGCTGAATTTAAGATGCGTTGCCAAAGTTAATTTATTGCAACACTAAATGTAAGAAATACTGCCGTAAATTTTCGGGAATTCGATTTAGAATGAAATATACAGAGTTATGAAGGAGAATATACAGTCATGATTTGTGAGATAGTAAAATGATTTGGAGGTAAAACATTGCAATTAATTTTTATTAACGATATATTTTTTAACACGTAAAAACACTAAACAGAGAACAATGCTTAAGCAGTAGTCTTACACATTCATTCAAAATTCAATTAAGCTTACTAGCTGCTGAACGGCAAAAGCGCTGAAACTGGTAGTTCGGTCCGAGGTTCAAATCCCGAGAACGGGCTGACTGCATGGGCGTTTTCGTGGTTTTCCCTTGTAACGTGTATACGAGCTAGTTTCCCTTAGAAATCCTTCCGCGAAGGCATCCCTCCCCTTAGGCAGAAGGCCTTCGTGTGCTTCGCTGCAATCAACTAAATCAATCCAACGTAAGAACTTTTTAAATATCGCCTTTAAGGAGTTTTCTACGCAAAAGGTTTAGGTTTGGTTTATTTAATTATGGCAAAGCACACTAGGGCTATCTGCCTAAGGGGAGGGATGCCTTCGTGGAAGACTTCTAAGGGAAACTGACTCGTATACACGTTACAACATGGGGAAAAACCACGAAAACGCCCATGCAGCCAGCCCGTTCTCGAGATTCGAACCTCGGACCGAACTACCAGTGTTCAGCGACTTTACCGTTTGGCCGCTGGTGAGCGCAAAAGGTTTAGATTCAAACATTTAGGCTCAAAGCAGTGGGAAATAATTACTGTTAAGCTATGTGGTTTCTTCCCTTGGAGTATGCCTACGTGGAAAACGTTTTTCGTGCAAAACTACACTATGCCCTGCTCTGTTAGGAGAACAAGAATCGGTACAAAAGAAACTAGAATTGATAACTTTGTAAACTGAACATGTGATTTCTTCGCACGATACAGTATAATATTCGTTACCATGTAAACGTGTGTGAAAAAAACGTGTTATACTTAACCTTCTGTGCACAGGAGGAAATTTAGTAGAACGATATTCATATTAGCAAAAAGAAAAATACGATTTTCTAAGACGGTAGCTTGAGGGAAGTTAAATGTATGGTCCCATCGATCGAATAAGGCAACGGCATTGCTGTGTTGTATGGAATTAATAGTATTACCGATGCAAATTTGTGAGGTGCTTAAACCATTCTCCAGGTTTGCAGCTCACCACTGAAGACAGTCTACTGATTAGGAAGAATCGGTGAAGGCTGTGGTTTTACTGTAATGCATCTGTTAAGATATTACACTGAGCGTGCCTGAGGCACGCTCTCAGACGGATTCAAACAAAAGAGGATGTTAGAGACTCCCGCGCAGTCGATTACGCTCTTCTCTTAGTAGTATATCCAATCTCATTAGCTGATCTTTATGAGCTTATCATTTATGAAGCGAAGCCTCACCAGTGACTAAGTGTTCAAGACCGCTAAATACTCGTAGTTCTAACCATTCAAACCCAAGCGAACGGCTTGGCTGCTTCGGTGTTTTTCGTGGTTTTTCCCCAAGTGAAAAGAAAATGCAAGCCACCTTCCCTTAGAAAGTATTCCTTGAAGGCATCTCTTCTTTTAGGTAGTTAGCCCTCGTGTCCTTTGCCATATTCAATTAACCTGACTAAGCTTACATGGACAGGAAAGAATCAGCGTACCTGCTGCAGCACAAGTACCACAATTTTAGTAAGAGAATTTCGTTTGTATGTGTCTGGGCGCTATTTCGTGTGACAAGTCCTTATGTACAGCTATATTTGTGTATTTCCAGACAGTTAATCCATTTGTATCGTTAGGTGAAATTTCGTGCATAGAAACTGCTTGGTTTCCTTTGCCAATTTTCCCTGAGAACTGGCTTGTAAATTTCATTCTGAATCTTGGCTTGTTAAGGAGCACAACTCTTCTCAATTTATCGGGTTTCCAATGACGATATTTCTCAGCCCACTTTCTACGCAAGTGGCTGGGCTCGCCAGTAGCCGAGAGATTACTACCGTTGAATACTGGGAGTTCGACCTGGGTTCGATCCCAAACAAACGAGCTGGTTACATACTTGGTTTTCCTCATGTATAAACGTAAGCCAGTTTTCCCTGGAAAGTAAACCGCAAACGTATACATTTCCTTAGGCCGACAGCCCTCATGAGCTTTGCTTTTCAACTAGCCTGACTTATGTGTGTATCTAAAGGAATATGCAGCACTGTTTTCATGTACAATGACCCTTCTAGGGACAATGGGTAATTACTTCGAGTTGATATCCTCTGTTTATTCCCCAAATTCGACGTTTTCGGTATTTAGAAAAGATAGTACTTTATTGATTTACGTCACCAAATTCACACATTGTTCTAATTTTTTTATTATATTTTATTTATATAGTTTTCGAGCCGTTTACTTATATTACACTAAAATTGCGAAAATTCTAGCTCAACCAGTCCATCGTGCTGTGTTCGACTGAAGATCGAATCAAATTGCAGCGGTGGGGACGTGAAATGTGGGGTCCGCAACAGCATTCATTACTTTAGATGAACTACGTTATGAATGAAAATTTATTTCGAGAATTGAAAAGTTGTATAGATAAAGCAATTTTTAAGTTATTCTGTAATACTTTAACGTATTTTATTAGTTGTGTGTGAAGAATGAAGTAACCACGAGGATAAGCAGCAACTACCCCAATGAAGAATAATATACAATAAAAAATATGACGCAATGACACAGTTGAATATTCTTTCCTGTTTCTTCAAAAGTTAGTTAGTTCTAAGCACTGGCCGCTAGCCCCCTCCCTTAGCAGGCGAAGGCTGCCATATGGCTATGAGCGGACAGGCCAATCCAACAACAAAAGAACGTTAAATAAAGAAACACGAGAGCATAAATTGTTAAATAACGGAATGAAACAAACTTAATAAGCATCTGGTGAAAAGTTTAGATCATACAATCATAGAAAACGAACTAAGAAACTCAGAAGAAAAAACGGGTTACAAAAGAAATAAAATCACAACACGTAATACATCCCAAACACTCTCGGTGAAATCAGTATATAAAGGTATCATTTCCATTTCTGTGTTCTTTCCTAAGTTTTAACTATTTTAAGTCAGTCTGTATAAGTTTATATGTGTCAAAAGTTATTAAACTTTGACTCGGTTCTAAATCTAGGCAGACGAGCTCGCTGCGTAGCTTTTTCTTTAATTTTCTCCATGAGTAATGTAATACGAGAGAGTTTTCCTTAGAAAATTCTCCACGAAGGGCATCCCTTCTCATAGACAAATGTTTCTTGAGTGCTTGGCCATAAAGATACCAATAAACAAATCAAGGTATGGGAAATATAAAATTACTCGCTATGGGATATTCAATAAGTATGGGATATATGAAATTACTAGCAACTGATATAACTCGAGATTTACTCTGTCTCAAATAAGAGACTTATTTTGCTTCGTTTATGAGCAAAAATTTGTGCTTATTTGTGTTTAAGGGAGTATCATGTAAAAAATACTGATCCCTTAACCACATTTTTATTTAAATCATTTAAGCTTAAAAAAAATCTACTTAGCAAGCAATTTACTTCAGAAAAAAGAACTGAAATTCCAACTATGGAGTTTATTACTGTTGTTTATAGCAGAAACCATGTTTATTACTTTTAATCTGAGCTAAGACAACCAACATATAAAGTGTTGATGAAGGAGGGTTTTTTTTCCCTTTATTAGCAAAATATGTCTATAGTCAAGATAATTTATGTAATTTGTGCCCATCTCTAAATTTGCAAATGAGCCATCATAAGTAGAACTGATATTAGAAGCTGGAAAAGTCCGAGCTTTTGGAATTGTTTCATTGTAGCGAGATAATATAAACCAATTTGAAATTTCCAGCAAGAAAATATGCTTTTATCTTAAGCTCATTTTGATTGCGGTAAAAGTTTTCTAAACATAAGAAATATATCTCTTAGATTAGTTATTTCGATAAAAAGGAAAGAAACAGAATGACACATTTTAAGAACTTTTTACTTTGAACACGAGATTACTATTACGAAAGAACAATGCATTTAATGAAACGGTTGCAGATGTGTCTTCCTGTAGAAAATTGTTTCACGCGTGTTTATACGGAAAAGATTTTAATTTTGCATTCTTCACTCATTTATCTGAGAAGCTATAATACATGCAACGAGTTTTGCTAAAAATCCTTGTTGAAACCGTAGAATGAAAAAAACAATTAATTCGGTTATCTTGCTAAAGACGCAAATTAAATTACTATTTTAAAATATTTGCGTATAGAAGTTTAAAATGTAAAAATTTGGGGATTACATAATAAACTCAGTAATTTATTTAAATAAAAATCAATTAATGATATTACACAGTTATTTTTATTTCATAAAGGTTAGTGAAATTTTCTGACTCCAACTACGAATCTGCAAAGGATACTTTGGAATGGGAGCAAAGAGGGATGTTTGGCCATAGCGTTTTAGTTGAAGCAGTGAATTTAGGTTCAAGTATAATTCAAGCTTCTTTACTGGGAAAATCGTCAAAGGTAAGTAAATTAGAAGCACATGAATATAATTTACAAGTTCAGTCGCTTTCATCTGCATTACAAATCAAGGTAATATGTATGTATTTTTGCAAGCTATTGATTCGTTGATGTTTCTTTAAATAATTACTCCAGATAAGCAGGAAAAAATCGACAATTTATTATAAAAGATCACGACACATACCAAAATAACTAGCTGCAAATAACTCAAGAACTCGGATATTAAGCAATTTCTCCATAGCATGCGAGACACGTCGCGTAAATTCCCAAATCACTCACAGCTTAAACTAAAACACAATTTAGCTAATTCTCTTTGAACCGCATGGTCTTACAGCTGATTACCAACTAACTGGTCTTAGCTCTAGGAGCTGTTTTTATGTAGTATAGTAGGAGCATCTGAAAGCTTAGGGGAAAATCGTTCGTAGGCCTTCGAAAATGTGTTTTCCAGAATCTTCCAGGAAATCGCTAAGTTGACAAAAAAAATCATCAAATACCTACAATTGGAGACAAAAAAATCGCCGCCAAGGCCTTTTTAGTAGCGTATTTGCCCTCCATCTAACGTTCTGCTTAAGCTATTTTTACAATTTAGACCTTGCTGGATTCGGAATTGAAAGATCTACAATTCTGTATCGAAAATAAACTCTAAAACTAATATCTTATAAGCAACAATATACATGAAAGACAATAATGCAGTCAAATAAATATAAATATTTACAGAAATTTACAAGACTATGCTTAAAATTAAGCAAAAAAGCAACCTTAGTTTTGAGTAGATTTTAAAACTCTTTTGCCGAACTTTAAATTTCATATTGGCGTGTTCTATTCGAGTTTATGAGACCACCAGTGGCCGAGCGGTAAAGTCGCTGAACATTGGTAATTCGGTCCTAGGTTCGAATCCCACGAACGGGCTGGCCCCCTACGAAGGCGTTCCTCCTCGTAGGCAGATAGCCCTCGAGTGCTTTGCCACAATCAAATATGTTGTATAATCACCATAAAACCACTTGTCCAGGATGCACCCCGGTCAAGGAAGCAATTACCAGGGCATTGCAGGCCTTGGCTCACTAAGAGTTGTTGCGCCACTGAGTTTAGTTTTTAACCACTGTAAAATCATGTATATTCCTTAGATTAAAAAAATCATTTTAGGAACAAGAATAAATTGCAATAGGAATTTTCAAGAAATTCAGTTATTTCATTAAGTATTAAAATGTGGAGATTTTCTCATTTTGTTCAATAAAATATTTACAGTTAGTCAATAAAGTCTGCGTACATCAAGAAAAGTAATATCAAATCCAAATTTTAAGGTGCGAAAAGGGTAGTTTTTTAAAGTTTTATTTTTTAAATATTTAGTTTTAATAAGGCACTTTGAAATTATTTAACTGTAATATTTCATATCTAATACTTTATTCACACTAATTTTAAAAGATAAGTGGCCAGAAATCAAGCCAATAAAGTTTGCGTACAACGCGAAGGAGGCGGGGGATTTCTTATCTAACTTTTAACTTCAAACTTGAGAATGCAAAGAAGGTTACACTTTCAAGGTCATTGACTTCCGAAGCAAATTTCACGTTGCTTGGAAGTTGCTATTTCTATTTTTTCTTTGACGAAAATGACAACCAATAAAGAAATTCTTTTAGTTACGAGACCTATTTCAATTGAGAGATGAAGGTAAAACTCTTCGTAATATTGGAAAACCATTTTCTAGTGGCAAAGAGTTATTCAAAACTATCTTGACACTGGTAGTCTTACTGTAAAACCAAGATGGTGGGAGACCGAAGAAGCTAACGCAGAGAGAAGAAAGAAAACTTCTTTTACGAATTAAACAAAATCCTAACTTTCTGCTGCAAGCATTGCAAAAGACATTTTTTTAACTAGCAACAAGGAAATTTCTCCTGAAACTGTACGAAAGTGCTGCGAAAAGTCCGATTATCATGACGCAAACCTAGGTCTAAGCCATACATTTCCGAGACAATAGAAAGAAAAGAATTGCTTTTGCCAAAACATATTAAACTCTTCGCAGACTTCTGGAACAATGTAATTTGGTCAGTTGAAAGTAATTTACAATATTTGAAGTTAATGGTCACCCTCATGTATGGAGAAACCAGGAACAGACTGAATCTGAGAATTTAAATCCAACTGTCAAACATGGGTGGCGGTGTGATGGTATGGGGTGTATGTCGTCGAAAGGAGTTGGAATTTTCACATATTGATAAAGTCATGGATAATATTTATCTGGATATTCTGAAGAAAAATCTACGAGACAGTGGCCGAATTTAAACCTTTCTATCCTTTTATTTTTCCAACAAGACAACGACCCGAAACATACAGCTAAAATGTGGAGGAATATCTCCTCTATCACACTCCAAAACTTGCGTACTCCTCCACAGTCCCAAACCTCAATCCAATCGAACATTTGTGGGCAAAATTGGAGAAACCAATTCGAAAACACAATATTACGTCGCGAAATAAGCTAATATAAATTGCAGAAGAATGGGCGAATTTACGTCGGATGACACTGAAACTAGTTCAGTCAATGCCCAGACGTCTGCAAGCTGTTTTGAAGAATAAAGGATTCCTACAAAGTATTGAAGTAATGTAAAAAACTTAATTTTGCTTTATTTTGAAAGTGTACGCAGACTTATTGGAGGGAATTTCTGAGTTTTTTTGACAAAATATATTTTTGAAAAATTTAAAGTATTACACTGATATTATTACTTTTATTTAAGCTTACAATTTTAGGCTAATAAAGAAAAAAAATGCAATGATTAAATACATTTTTCTATGCTTTAGTGTTTTTTTAATTTAAAATTTAGTCTGTACGCAGACTTTTGTGACTAACTGTATATTTTGGTGTTGACGGCTTTTCAAGGCAATTCAATAGGAAGATGAAACTATGTGGTTGAATTACTTTTAGCCTCAAAAAATTACTTTAATCTGATATCGAGTTTTCAGTGCAATATGTGTTGAAATCGGATGATTAGACTATTTATTTTAATAATCAGAAGCATTGTAAAATAGAATGCAAAGTTTTCAGCAAAAGTGTCAGATCTCTCTTATATATATACACACAGCATTAATGTAAATATTATATAGTCAAGTCTATGATTTGTGTGAATGAACTTTTTTGAGTATCTTCTGAGAATTCAGGAGCAGGCAGGACACTTGCCTTTAAAGCTAGTATTTCTTTTTCTGTTGTAGCTGAAATTGTTTTTCCAGCAATGGGAGACTCTGAGATTTTATTTCATCTCCTTCGGTGTTATTATTTTATTTCATTACCTTAGTTTTGAATAAGCTAAAAAAAGATTTAAATTTACTCTAAAATTAGAGTAATATTTTATAAGTTGGAGTTACTCTAAAATTAGAGTTAATTTTAGAATAAATTTACTATAATTTTACTCTAAATTTGTTCTAAAGATTTACTATAAAAATCAAAGACAAATAGAAAAAGGAAAATATAAAACGAAAAGTGTAATATGAATAAATAATATACATATTTTGAGTTTTAACTGTCACAGGAACCACATTCCACATAATGAAAATCGAACTTCTGCAATGGCACGATTATTTTTTTTAATTAAAATGATTTGCAATAATAGGGAAAAAAAGGTGAAACCTCCAAAGATTGCATGCTATTAACGAATGACGGAAATGCACTAGAACAGCAATGCCCTAGAATAGAAAGAATTTTAAGCGAACCCTTAAGCAACCTAAGATTAAGAGGACGTAAGCAGATTTCTTTGCTCCTGATGAAGAGGGACCTGTACCTGTTTGCCCTCAAAATAGATACTCTTGACTAAAATCTACGCCAAACAGAAGGTTGTTTCTTTGTTAATTTTATGTTAGATTTTTTTTTAATGTTTTTATGTTTCACTTTGGCTTGTTTCTCTTCTCTCTTGATTTTAAACTGCAGAATTTAGATCAAATGATTTAGTTTGTAATTTTGTAAATTTTGTTCCAGATTAAGTTCTTAGTGACGCTTAGAAAATTTAAGATATGCTTATTACTTTAAATATAACTTTTAATTACGTTACATTAATTTATCATGAAAACTCGCAGTAAATAAGCGCAAATGGGGAAGTAGCTGAAGTGGTTGACCCGTTATGGAGCAGGAAATTCTTTAAAATACCACCCTATACCACATCCAGATTGCGTTAAGAATGTGTTACGTTCTATGAATCATTTTCTGCGTCATGAACCGCTCCACCCATCTTAGTCAGTGTGACACCCATAAAATTTTGCGGTCGTCTGAAGTCAAAAAGAGATTTCAAAAGTAGCCTTTTCATACTGTCTATACATATTTTTATACTGATTTGGGACTTAAAATTCATCATATAAACTGATTTCGCTTCCATTAGTACAATTCCCTCATTAGTGATTAAAGGATTTAAACCTCACTGCAAAATTTTTTTAAATTATCCGTGTTAAGAAAAATTTGAATATAATTCATCTAAATAATTTATGACATCGTGCATGAGAAACTGATCAGAGCTGCTATTAGACAATATGTAACCATAACTTTTGATTTCTACGTTTTAACTACAGTTAAGAATAACACATTTGATGCTTCAGTTCTGGTGGAGTGACAGGACTTAAAAGAGACTTAGGATTTAAAGGACTTCTATTTATTCTCTGATGGAGTGGAATGAAGGTGGAGAGCTGGTTCCACATTTATTCGGGCTGGACTGATAAGCTACATAAATTCTGGATGTTATACTTCTATTCGTATTAGACCCACCAGCAATTGAATAGTAAATCTGCTGATCACTAGTAGTTCGACTTACGCTCAAACTCGGCGAACGCGATGGTTGCATGGTAGTTTTTCCCATATGCAACGTGAATACGGTCCAGTTTCCTTTGAAAAGTCCCTACAAAGGTATCCTTTGCCATAATCCAATGCAATCCAGTGTTGTTGTTGTCTTGTCCATATTACATAGAACAATAGTTGCCAGAGCCTACTCTGAAGAGAAGTTGGACTTCTATTTTTCACCTCCAATTTTGAGGGAGCGCACCCTAGGGAAATCTGGGGGTCTCCTACCCCTCTCCTCATCCACTAATCCACACGAGAGGATTTTCAGCTCGCCGCATATTTAGAGTGCCGCCATGCCGCACCAGCACTATACATTTACAAGCATCCATGTCTTACTCGGGATTTGAACCTTTGCCCTTCGGTACTGTAGTAGGCTTCCCTAACCACTATACCGTCTGCGTGATCAATGCAATCCAATCTACTCATTATATGAGGATTTCATCGTACTCTGAAGTGGGATCTACCTGTGAGCTACCGAAGGCTGTAATCATCTTTGAATAATTTTTACATGAAATTATTATTTTTAAGCATGGTATCTCCTTTCAGCATTATCCATCAAGGAATCTGATTGGTGGGCTATTTAATAATATACAAAAAGTATTATAATGGACTTTTAGTTTGATTCTCTTTAGTTCAAAATTTTTATTCTGGCCATTGTGGAATATCTTTGCTAAAAGTAAACACTTATTAGAGATAATATTTGGAAAAATACATATATTCATGAAAATTAGATTAAGGAAGTGAGTAGAAGAGCTTTAAAAAAAAAAAAAAAAAAAAAAAAAAAAGCTTCATGATGATTAAATGGGAAAACCTTTTTTTTTTATCATTTATGCAATATTGCAAATTTGTTTCGCGAGGCTGTATAGTTTTATATTCCGTGACAACATTCATTCTTCCAAATTTGCCCAAATGTAATAAAAACATTAATTTCGGTTGAATATATTATTGGCTGCTAACGTTTCAACCTGCGGTATTTATCATTTTTACAGCGTGGAAGACTTTCGATTTTCATTAGCGATTTGTACTCTAATTATTATCGAATAATATAGTCTGTACTACGATGCGTATTAGCATGACGTAATTCATTTTGAATTTATGAATTATGTAAAATAACTTGCAATCTTTTCCGATTTTGAATTCAGTACTTCCAAGAATTCGCATTGTTCTTCCAAGAATTAAAGATTTCGAAATGAAATGTTAAGTTAAAGGAATAATAATTTAGACGGCCTATGACGGCCACGTTTGGATTCCGTTTCATACACTGTAAAGGTACTTTAATCAACCTTTTAGGATTTAAAATTCTGCGACTGAATTAATGTCAGTCAATCAACTAAAAGAAAAAAGTTTTGGGGCACAAAAGATTAATGGTTTACGTATATTACATAAAACTAATTTCTGATATTTGTATCGATTTTGTTACATATTTATATCAAGAGAAAATTTGTCTGATGAATAGTATACAATATTTAGTATTCGAGCTAGTTTCAATTAGAAAGTCTTCCACAAAGTCCATCTAAATTTTAAATGTTATCTATTTGAATAATAAACCCTCGTAATGTAACGGATAAATTAAATAAAAATTTTTGTTTTAGGGCCCTTTTAATGATTGTACTAATTATACCAGAGTTGGCCAAACTTCATGTCAGTAAGAGCCGCACGTTTGAATTCAGGAAATGTTCGAGAGCCGCATCTAGATTTTCTAAAAGCCACAAGTTCATATTTACTTCTTTATAGAAGTAGTGGAGGAGGTTTTAAATAGAAAGAAATCGCTGATAACTTTCTAAAATGAGTCTAAACTAATTGCTTCCTTTTGGACACTGAATAGTTTAGTTTCATACATATATTTTACATGCATGAGCCGCACAAATTGCCTGCGAGAGCCGTATCAGGCTCGCGAGCCGCACTTTGGCCACCCCTGAATTATACAATTAAAATTTTGACTAAAACTGAATTTTAGCGATATCTAGATAGTATTAATGATTATATGAATCTCCTTTTGACTGCTAGAAACGTTCAATTCCGCATACGGTGAATTATTTTCTGTCCCCCATACCTCCAATCACCCACCAGCGAACAACGGTAGTTTGACCTGGGTTTGATTTCAAGCGAACGGGCTAGGTGCATGGGCGGTTTACCGATGTGTAATGGATTTTCGCGGTTTTACCGATGTGTAATGGAGATACGAGTTATGCCTTCTGAAAAGGTTCTCCACGAAGGAATCTCTTCCCTTACGCAGATAGCCATAATTGGCGTTTTGCCACAATTAAATAAACCAAACTAAATTAGATGCGCTACGCTTTACATTTAGAATTTCTGTTTATACATAAACTTGCCATTGCATGAATTTTTATTTCGAGTTGTAAGCAAAGTACACTTTCTTGTCTTTAAATTAAAAGCTAATGAAAGGATACGGACAGCATCGCTCTGGAATGGTTGGTACTAAAAAAATAATTTAATTTCAGCTGATTGTTGTGTGTTAACAATTTATTTCAGTTGCACAACAGCAATCATTTGCAGTTTTCTTGCTTGGCTAGCAACACTAAAATTTTTACAATCTGCATACATTAACTTTATTTTGTGTTATAATTATATATTTATTTTTTTATTATTATATATTTATCTTTATTTAATGCTTAGTTTTTGCACTTTTTTCACTGAAAAAGCATAGTAAGCTAGTACGCAATAGTAAAAGGATTTTTTTTATAAAATAATTGAATGTCTATTGAAAACTGTGAAATAGCTTAACGTACTGTGAAATTATAGTCTATCCAAGCAAAAATACTAAAGGTCTGGCTCTTATTATAAATTTGAATTCATCAGCTTTCTCTATGAAGAGAAAATTTCTTCTCGAAATATAATTTTTCCAAAATGTTTGTATAAAATGCAGAGGAAACTAGACTTTGAACAATAATTATATAAACTTAACACTAGTTTCTTATTTCAAAATGCTTGAATTGATTGTTCTTTATTTTTCATTCAGGTAGAAAATAATTAACTAATTATTATAACTGGACTTATACTATAATGCGGTCTTCATAAAACAAGACAAATTGAATTGTGAAGAAAGGTATAAACTGCTTAAAAATCTTAACTAATTGTAAAATTTTATGAAGTTTTCCACTTCAGTCTTCAAAAACTGCGGAATTTTAAACTTTTGTCATGTGTATTTCACTATTTTATGTGTTATGCAATATTCAATAAAGTTAATATGCAAATAATACAGCCAACGTTGAAAATACATATAACAAATTTCTTTTAAATTTGGGGCCCACCAGCGGCCGAGCGGTAAAGACGCTGAAACACTGGTAGTTCGGTCTGAGGTTCGAATCCCGCGAACGGGCTGGCTGCATGGGCGTTTTCGTGGTTTTCCCCATGTGTAACGTGTATACGAGCCAGTTTCCCTTAGAAAGTCCCTCCACGAAAGGCATCCCTCCCTTTAGGCAGATAGCCCTCGTGTGCTTTGCCATAATTAAATACACCACACACCACACCTTTTAAATTTGGCGTTAAGCAGCATACTTTTTGTGGACATTCACAATATAGCCCTGAATGTCTTTATTCTAATCTACCATCGGGAGAAGGGTAAAATTTCTGAATGCTGGTATTTCGTCTTGGGTTAAAATCCCGTTAATCGTGCTGGTTGCATGGCAATTTTCATAACTTTTCCCATGAGTAACGTGGATAAGGTCCAGGTTTCTTTAAAAAGTCATCACCAAGGCAAATAGGCTTTGTGTGCTTTGCCGTAACCTAAATAATCGAACCCAATTCTATTTTATTTATGCCAACCCTGTATTTCTGATTGCAGGATTTTGAAATTTTGTACTCGGAAAAGTGATATCTAAAATGGCCAGGTATTACTTTCTGGAAAGCTCGTACTAGAAATATTTTATCGATTGGTTTGGTTTATTTAATTACGGCAAAGCACACTAGAGCTATCTGCCTGAGGGGAGGAATGCCTTCGTGGAGGACTTTCTAAGGGAAACTGGCTCGTATACACGTTACACATGGGGAAAAACACGAAATCGCCCATGCAGCCATCCCGTTCGCGAGATTCGAACCTCGGACCGAACTACCAGTGTTCAGCGACTTTACCGCTCGGCCGCTGGTGGGCCTAAAATAAAAATACTTTATCGAACAAATTAGCAATGAAGGGCATTAAAATTGATTTAATGCCTCTCCCGCATTGTATTAAAGATACAACTCAATTCTAACGGCACTTGTCTAGTACTATGCTCTATTTCCCCTATATAACTTCTGCATGTGTTAAGTCGTTATTCTATTTCGTGTCTTATCATTCGCGTCATATATTGCATTTATCTAACACTTCATTCCGCATCTCTTTATTTCTATACTCCACTTAACATGTTTTGCGCTTTTGTATCGTCTTAGATCTTCTTGCACTGTCTTACTCACTGACAAGTGACGCCTTGTGTTAATATTTTATTTATCTTGTTCTGTATTTTGCATTGATATAAAATATTGTCGCGTAGATGAGGGGATCATATTGAGACAAATGAAGAGGAAAATACTAAAGTTTCAACTCAAAACTTTATTATTCTAACTGGATAAGTAACCAATTATTTACACTTGATGAATTAAAAGGAAAATTCGAGAATTGGAAGGTTCTAAGAAATGGAGAATATTCTCCAAAAAATGTAACACAAAGGAAATAAATTAACAGAAAGGAAATTTAAGCAAAATCAATTTTTATATGGTTTAAAGATTAAACTGCTTAATATTGTTATTGATCTCCTTTTTATTAAGTAATATCTCTTCATATTTTGATAAAGTAATTCTCATATTTTTTTCAGGTGACACTTACTGCAAAAATATCGCTAAAAGTATTGCCAAATATAAAAATTCTGCCATCCACGTCACTCTATTTATTGCGATTTGCTACAGTGCCTATTTCATTGAATAAGATGTTGGGAGGAGAACTTTCAGGTAAATTATGGAATTTTTATTTCTTTGCTTCTAAATCTGAGAAAAAGATCTTAAAACAACCTGATCCATTACATAAAACTAATTAAAGCGCTTAGAAGTTTATGAATAGGAAATGAAATCTTGAGACGTTCTTTAAGTAGCTTCATTGTCTAGTGATAAGTAGGAAACTTCAAACAAAGGAGACTATAAACGTCCTTAAAATATGCATTGTGCCAGTCTGCTGTATGAAACTAATAGATGTAAGCAAGTAGTGAAATATGACTTAAAACAAGTATGTGATGCCTTCAAACGCAAGAAGCATGTGTTGAAAACATACATTCAACAAATTCGTACCTATTTTAATGCTCCGAGTTTTAAGTTAAGTGTACTGTGATGGATTTGTGTTTAAGTATGCTATCATATTTCTCAGTTTTATGATATTTAGAATTTTGCATTAAATTTTACTCTCAGGAATGCGTAAAGAAACTAACGGTTTCATTTTCATGTAACTAAGTTTCCAAGTTAATTAGGAACAAAATAGATATCTTGATTCTGCGTGATTTGAGTTAATATAAAGGTTTAAAAGAATTCAGATAGCAGCAATTATTAATTTAGTAACTTATCATTGTCATTAAAGGCATTACCTGCTTATTCTTCATTTTAGGGACCAAAGCTCTGTTTGAAACTGAAAATATTAGAAACGCCAAAACCAATCTTTTTTTTTCCCTTTGTTTGTTAGTAGTACATTTTGACCACCGGAAACGGTAATAAATTTCAGCATATTATTTGCGAAACTATGCACAGGATTTGTAATACAATTTTAGACGTCTTACTTATTATGAAGCGATACTTAAGAAATAAACTTGTTCATTTATTTGTAATTTAACTAATACATGTGTGATTAATTCCGATTTTCATTCTACTGTAATAATAATGTTTATTTTTATTTTTCTCTAGAAATCGAGAAAAATGAGTTTAAAATTCATTCTAAAGATCCTTCAGTTGGAGAACTAGTCGAAGATTTCTCTTCTGTTAAAGGCTTGAATTATGGCTCAACGTCAGTCATTTACAAAAGCATTAGTATCCTTTTAGACAACAACTGAATTTATTAGAATATTTTCAATATAATCTTGAGTAAGCTTTCCTTATTTAATAATATTGTATTTTAATATGGTGTTTTAAAAACTCTATTTAAGCAGCAGTTCTTTTCACTTCTTTTTTTTTCCCTTTTCTTTTTGGAAACATACTGAAAAAGCAAAAATGAGTTCTTCAGTAAATTCTAGTTATTTTATATGAAAAATTACTTCATAATATATGTAGATACCGATTTTAGTCTTCGCACTGACAAAAATGATATAAAATTGCTAAAAATATATATATTATAAAATGATATAAAAAAATCTTCATTTTAGAAAACTATGCAGAATGATAATATATTCACTTTCATCAAAATTATACAAAGCAATAAAACAGTCCTTAAAATGCTTCTCTAATCACTGCGTATTTCCTGTCTCTTAGCCTCTGAAAGAAATCTTAGAAAAATCTTCTTTTTGTGTCCAAGGCATCCATTTTTTTATTTAATCTTCTGTTACGTGATTACTTTGTATACTTATTTATATTGATGCACCTCAACTTTCATAATGGTTTAACATTTTAGAAGTTTCCTGGTGCAACATATTGTTAAAAAAATGGCTACAAGACATTCGTTTCTAAAAACCTGTATATTTGTCTCATACGTGCCTTTCCAATTTTCAGTTTCTCAACAATAAGGTACGCAACTGTATGAAAATAATTTGAGTTTCTCGTAAACGGAATAATTAGAAAAGAAGATTACGTGCTTCATTTCCTTATATATTAAATTTAAATATGTATTTACGATTACAAAACTTCTTAAAACCCATGAAAGAATTTTATCGGAGGAATCGGTAAAAACTAAATTTTCATATTTTTCTCGCGCAGCGAAATTTGCAGTTAAGAAAATATACTGATATGTTTCACACATTTAATAGGAAAAGTAGCTCATATTTTCATTTCTACCATTTCATTAGACGTTCCAATTTTGTAGGAAGCTCTGTCTAGAACGCTATGAGTACAAACTTCCTGCCACTAATTGTTCCAATCTATTACTGCTTTGTCGGCCATATTCAGCTAACCATATACTGTAAGTTAATACACACTTTTTTGATGATAGGATACCATAATTCTGAAAATAATCCACTTCTTGCCGTTTTGTGGGAGGCAGGTCACAAGTTTTAATCTTTTTTTTTTTTTTTTCAAAATGAGGGGGTGTGTGGATTGCAACAGTAACAGTTAATTTGTATTTTTTTTTTCATAAAAACAAAGGTTGGCTTACTGAGAATTAATCGAAGTTACATCAGATGAAAACACAGATGTTATGTGTCTACTTTTATGTGACGGTTATCCATGACTGGGCTAAATCACGCTGCTTTGCGACAGTTTGATGGTCGTTGGGATAATACGCAAGAACCCGTTGTATTTTTGCGGCAATATTTATTAAATTGATACTTCTTGAAACTGGTTTCCAAACTGATATGTCTTGAAAATGATTAACATTCAAATGAACCTTTTTCAGGGGAAAGGATGCGGATTTTAAGTAGAAAGCATCATTAATATATATTTCTGTCTTCACATTAAAATGGATTTGATCTTTAAATCTACAGGCGTCTATAGTAATATCTCAAAACTAGTATAGATGTTTCAATTATAAATTTTGAATTAGAAATATTAAGGTTTCACTGTCCAATCTAACATTTATATTTGTTTTTAAACCCGAGATTAGGAAATGGAGCATACAACTCGATTATTTTAATTTATTCAAAATATATAGAATTTATAATAAACAATGGAAATGGGAAAATAATTTTTTCTTAACCTTTTTTAATTTTTTTACCAATTATTAAACTAGCAGTTAAATATTTTTTGTTTTCTAAGATAAATATTAATTAATAAATATGCAGTTAAAGTAAAAAATTATCTATCTAGATTGAGTTACTGTACTAAATTTGCCTGCTTTCGAGAATTCGGTGAATTTTCTTGAGATGCTGTTTGATATATTTTAGCATATCCTATACCTTGACCTTTAGATAGCAAATATTCTGACGTGTCTGTAGATCTTCATGTTGTGAAGGCGGTGCGCCTTGGTGAGTAAAACATTTTCTGTTATGTTTCCTTTCTTTTTTAACTGTGTTCTAAATTTACCATTATTTAATCAGAATTTTATAAATGATAAAAATTTTTCGTCTACTGATTTAATTGGAAATGTGTAATTAAATACTACTAAAAGAATCGTATCTGTCGCTGTATTCGAAAGCTTGAAATCAGTAATTACAGTGTCAAAAACTTTTAGGAATGAAAATAACAAGATGGGCCAGAAAATTATCTTATATAGCTTCATAAAGTAAATGGCTTATCTATTAACGTTTATTTAATATTTCTACAGTGACTGTAAAATGTGAAACTTCTAATGGTTGAAAAAATTTAAAACTGTCATCTATACTTCGGTGGAAACAGAACAAGTTTTTCTGCTTTTCGCCCCCATAAGCTAACAAATAATAGTGCGATGCACCAAGTTTACTGTCTTGCCATTAGTCGGTTAACTTGTTTTTATGACATTACATATAGGTTTCCTTATGTATCAGTATATATTTAACCACTTACAACTCAACCTATGTATGCAAAACCTACATCTTAAACTTTAAAATTCTGAAAAAAATTCTGAAAACATTTAAAAATTAAAATTCTGAAGTTAAAGACAAACACTTATTCTAAATGTGGAACAATTAGTTCAGGTTGCATAATTGTGCACGTTCAGCAAAGATGTTTGCAGATGTAAAATTTTCGAATCAGAAAAAAGAAGGATCACGTGATAAAAATTTTAAGGGAGAAAATGCAAAAAGGAGTGGTAAGGATATTGTGTTTAATGGAATATGTTGAAGCGAATAAAATTTGCGATCATGAATTTCTGTCAAACATAGCTTATTCACATGAGAAATAATTAATGAAAAGCTAATCGGTCGTATAATTACTGATGTTCCGAAGCATTTTAGAAAAAATCATAATAGGTTATCCAAATATGAAGCAACAGTTTAAAAACTGCGTTTTCCATATGTATGCTAGGAGTCGTTATAGTTCTCTTAATGAATACAGAGACAAGATATTTGTAACAGCAGTAATTAGAGCAATCGAGGCTAGTGAGTTCGTAATTGGCCTCCCTTCCAATTGTGGAATATATGGGTATTTATTCGACATGCTGATCGCAAGACATGCTGGGCTATAATCTCGAAAACTTTTAGAACATGCTCCTGTACCAATGGAAGTTCAATGTAGCACATAGTTTGTCTCATCCGCAGAAGTATGACAAGTCAACAATAAAGCTGTTTTATTCTTCAACGTTCGATTCTCACTACAATCCCTCAGATTTCAAATGCCAGTTGATTTGACACGAAAAAGATTATTCTTGCAATAGCCGTAATATGCAGTAAAAGACAGGTGTAAATATCATTGTGTTCTAATATGGGGCAGACGTCATTATAAATGGACGCATTAAACTAAAACTGACATATCTGCTCAACAGGTTATTAGCTAGCACTGAACATCCATTCTCCAAAACTTTTATTAAACTTTAATTTTATACGCAATTTATCATGTTTTTTTTTGTGCCATAATGTCTATTAGAATGATAGCAATATATTTATTTCGATTCTTGCTACATTTTATATATCCTTAGGTATTTTATTCTAATGAATATTAGACCTTCCCAGTGGCTTATTTATGTATTTATATATGTTACCGTGAAAGATCGAAATTGGAGAATGTCGACTTTCACCGGAGAATATCAACATTCACCAAATACGTCGGTGAAAGACCGAATATTTCACTACATTCTTGTATATTCGGACCCTCACCTGTGTATGTCGACAATCACAGATATGCTCTGGTAAAAGTCGAAAAGAGAGGTCATAAAGTGCCATAATAGTTGTTGTAATAAATAAGATTTGAATCACATAATTTAGTAAGTTTTTTATTACTGTTATTTTATTTTCTCATTTAGAACGTACTGTATAATTAAGTAAGTTTTTAACTTCTATTATTTTCCTTTCTCATTTTGAATGTATTGTGTATTTTAGGTTCTCATGTTCTTAAGTTCTTATTTCAAGTTTCAAGTGCGTTTATTCGCGACTGAATTACGGAGAAGAAAATATAATATTGTTATATGTTCAACATTCACCATTAGTACATGGTGAATGTTGACATTGACCGGTGCAAGTCAGAAATTAAAAGTATTTAGAAAATATTTCGGACATACACCAAGAGACTATGTGAATGTTGACATTCACCGGTGAAGTCGACATTCTCCAGATTTCGGTGTTTCACCGTAACATATATATTTAATAATGTCTTTCTAATGTACTGATTGCTGTACTAAATGTACGGAACCGTGTAGTACATATAAAAGCGTAATACTTTTACTGTTCAGTGAAGGCTGATATTTTTGAATTAATGTTCTGAAATTTATAATTTTCTTACCCATGTTGCACATGTTTGGAAACCCTCATATGAGATTATGGGATGTGAAAAAGATAGCATTCATAAAGTGAATAAAGTCTAAAAAGAAAGTGTTCGGTTAAAATTATTATTACATCTAGAAAAAATACTGGATTTTTTAAGGCGGGTATCAACCATTTTAGGCTTTTTCCACTACTAAGTCCAGAATCGGTGGTCATTTTATTACGGAGGCCCCTAATAGAGGGCTACCGTTACCTCCTATGAAGGGACAGATAATTGACATCCATGTCTTTTTCCGGGATCGCTAAACACCTTCCGGTCTGGGCAGCGAGCCTTGGATTTAATTTTAACCAAAAATGAGACTAGATGCTTTCAAATCTTGCGAGAGTCCTCTCCTTCCCAGAATAATTTATGTTTACGTTTGGAGCACAGCATAATTATCTTTTTAGTAGCTCTCGATTCCTGATTCCATTCTAATTCGCAGGTTAATGACTTCCCTACAACTACTGCATTTTTTATTTTTGTCACATTTTTATTAATTAATTGCGCTTACTCTGCTATCTAGAAATTCTCCCTTTATATAGCTATCTAACCCTCGTAAAGTGGTATTAATTTCTTCCCATTAGACATTAAGTGATATCGTTTATCAATCAAAATAATCCTCAGTGCTAAAAATTTCTAAAGGAAAAATTGAAATTGTTCAAAACAGTAGGAACCAAATTTGAAAGACTCATTTCATGGCTTAAATCTAACAAATTATGTCGTTGCATTCCCGTAAAAATTTGTTTCCGTCTTTCCACTCAGAATATATGCCTAATAATGTCGCATGTTGTAAAAAAAATGTTTTCATAATGTTTGCTGTTCCTCTTTTATGAATTGCGCCAACCATTATATGTATAATATTTAAGGATGTGCATAACATACTGTCGAAAATTTTACAGTTGTATACCAAGCAACTGAAATTCAAATATTGTAAACCTGAGAGAAAGTGAAAATCTGGAAAAATAGTTGTTTCTAGTTCATGCAAATAATTTGTGTAGCACTATTAAAAGTTGAAGCATACACACAATTTTAAATTAACACTAAACATATAAAGCAAATATTATTTTAGTCTCCAAACATTACGTTGTGCCCATAAGAATTATGAACCTGCAAATCCGCTGCACATATGTAAAATTTTTGAGCTGAAAGCATACTATTGAGGATTTAACATCTCAATGGCCAAAAAGCAAATGGCTGCAGAAAAAGAATTGTGTTTAACGTAATTTATTGAAAGGAAGAACTTGAAATTCTTCCAAGTTGAAAGCATGTACATCAGTATTATTAATATAGTACTAATACGAGTGTCGAGCTACGCGAAAGAATGATTTATTTTGCATTGCCACTTATAGCAAATTATCAGGCCCATTGTTCCGTCAAGAAGCACACTTCACATTACTCATGCAGTAGATACTAAGCTCTCATAAATATTTAAAGAGTTCTTTGAAATTCAAAGATGGAAAAAAGAAGAACAGAACAAACCGAGCGAAGCGAAACCCAAGTCAAAATTCCTTTCGAAATGAAACACTGCACTTTCCTTTGAACCATAGATATAACGATTTAGGGGGCTTTAAAGGAAATGGATGAAGCAGTGCATTGCCGGAAGTGAAGAGAACTACTATATGTACCGAAATAAATGGAAACTAAAATATTATTTTCCAGTATTATTTATAAACTATTATTTTCCATTAAAATGCTATTAAGTTATATTTCAATGAAAAATCCAGTAAAATTTCATGTGAAGAAAAGACGCTCTCAGTTGTCTTCAAATTTATAGGACTAAATTTTTCAACCAGTCCTAATGAAAACCCAAACATCATTACCACATCATTGCTTCATTTAAAACTTTGTATGATGTCGGAAGAGAGATTAATTGACATTTTTATTTGATTTTATGTCTCTTGATATCTGATGCTATGAAACAGAGGCCATTTTCTGTTAGTAGATTCTTAACAAAAGCATATACCTCATTCTTTAGGCAGAGAAGCCCAGTATACGTTGCCGTAATGAAGTTTGTTGTTATGTGTACAGAGTTTGTTTGATTATTCATGGCAAAGCATACGTTTTGCCATAATTAGGTTTCCCTTAGGAGAAGGATGCCTTTGTAAAGCATCTTCTACGAAGGGAAAGCCGCGAAATTCACCCATGCAGCCAAACTGACGTCGGTATCCGAATCAACGGTTTTATCAATCACAGCCACTAGTGAATATATAAAGAAAATCACCAGCGACTTAAGTGAGTGGCGACTGTAAAGCGTTTTGATCCAAAGCTGCTAAAACTGCATTAGAGATATTTGAATCTTGGTGTCCGCGTGCAGAAATTAAGCATTCGCAAAACCTAATATTTCCCGGCGCTACGAACGCTTCTGTAATGTTATGGGTTATGGCAAAGTACACAAGGGCTATCTGCCTAAAGGGAAGATGGTTTCGTGGAGGTAAATAAAGAGAAACGGACTCGTATTTATCTCTTTTGTAATGGCTAGGAGAGAACCCAGTCCTCCTTTAAGTGGGGAAGAATGTAAAATATTTTCTTTCCCCTTGCTCCATGTTCTCCTAGTGCAAAAGAAAGCACGTTTGGCTTGCAGGCGGCAGGTCTAGGGTTCTAATCCTCGCGGCATAGCTGATTTTTTGTATTTCATGCTCTGAGAAACCTAAAGACTCTACAAAGTATTTGTAGTAATCTGAATATCCTGTTATAAAAGTGAAATGTCTGTCAAATAACGGTTTCAAGTTGAAAGACTTGAAGCTCTTATTTGACAGATATTTCACTTGCATCTACTGCAGCAACGTTTTCAAAAATAACCTTGGTGTATAAAGTATCCCAATAATGTACATGTCACGTAAGATTAATTCACTGGTTACATCATCTAGTGCAGGGGTTCTTAATCAGCGGGGAATTCACCTCAAGAATAGAATTTCATGGTTTCAAAGATGGAGGGTATTTCCATCTCAGAATATTAATATATTTAAGCTGTAATAAAAACACTCATGATAGAAAGACAATTAAGTGTTGGTTGAAATCTCCTAACTTAGAAAACCTCGAAAAGTTAAATTTAAATATTATGTTAAGTGAAGCGAAATTATTACGAACGTTTTCGTACTTATATTTTGTAAGCATAATAAAAAACAATAATAATAAATATATATAATGCTAAGTAATTGTGTTTAAAATCCATCTCATTCTCATGCAAAAAATAAAAAATTGGAAGCATAGTGATAAATTGCATGAAAGGTGCAAAAAATATTACAACAAAAAATGGAAAAGAAAAAAAGTAATCTACGTCTTTCTCTGCATCATCATCAGGGTGGTTAGTGCAAATATGTCATATGTATAAATACATATACATACATATTAATTAAGCTTAATAAACCCTAAATTTTTGTGTACATTTTATGTCCTAAGCACAAAATTTTGATTTCAATGTTACCTTAAATTAAATAATTTTAAATTAAGGCAATAAAAAATAAGAAATAAATTAAGGAAAAAAATGGGATGGGGAAGATGATATTTGACATGTGGAGAAAAGAGGGGAATACAGCAATAAAGTTTGAAAGTTGCTGAATTTAATATATACTAGGGAATCGTTCCAGCTTTTCAACATTTTTGTTGCGATATTTAAGTATTTCATGGCAAATTTTGTGAACTCTTTCATAGAAGAAAATAAAACGTCTAAAAATGTTTGTAAATGGTTAAACATCTCTTAAATTGAAATCAAAAGCTGGTCAGTGGCTTAAAAATGTAGTTTATGAATAAAAGAGAGACCACATTTTACCATATTTATTATTTTAAAAATAAAATGCAAAATAATGCTATCAGATGTTATTTTTTTAAATCTTAAAATCTGTATTTCTAGAAGTAAATGTTCTTATTATAAAAGAAGCATTAATAAAAATAGCTTGAGAAAAAAGGAATAAAAAATAGTTTGAGAGTATATATGAATTCAACAGTGCTGCTGAATTTCCTACACATTAAACTGGAGCGCAACATCCACAAAACTAAGTGCACATTTATGAATTATTTTATGACATCTGTAACGTCATCTATTCTGAGATTAACTAATGAGAGTAGGAAATGGCTAATTTATTCCTAATTTATTTTCTTTGTTAGTTGCTTTGTAATGAATGGCCTTCACCGACTCAAGAAAGGCATCGATGCATGAAAAATATTTTCATCTACTACTCAATTTAAAATAGATAAAATAAAATTAATGTTGAATTTTACGAAATTAGTGAAAAAAGGCTTTGTGATTTTGTCGAAATAAATAATGAATTTCGAAACAGACGAAGGCTAATGTGATTATCCAAGTTACAAAAAACCATTTACCAAAAAAAAAAAAAAAAAAAAAAAAAAAAAAAAAAAAAGGAGGAGAAAGATCGATGACTGTTCAACCTTAGTTTTCTTCATAGGTTTCATATATAGAGTAAATCGAGTTTAACAAACTGAAGCCGATTAGTTAATTGTTTTCTTGATAAATGAGATGGCTGAATACAGACTACCTGATGAGATAAATGAGTGCTTGAAGTCAACATCTGTTCTTTTTCTCTTCGCCCTTCAGAAGGACTGGAATCTAAAGCATAGAAAAACAGTCAATAACATTTCATCCTCCGCTAAAAAATGTTTCTATACTAAAAACAAAGACCTACTAAACAAAAGAAAAATCAACTAGTTGAATGGTTTGCAGATTTAAAGAAAATGACGTAAAAATAAATCTATGGAATTTATATTTATTTTTTTTTTAAAAGTTTGTAAAGTAACCATTTTATGACATACCCATTAAAAATACTAGTGGAATTATTATTCTGAAATTTCGTACCCTATTTCATATCCTGCTTTCTTTTCCAATAGGTACTTCTTTCGTGATACTTTATATTATTTAAATTATTTATTAGCCTTTACATTATTTACTAGCATGCTTAGTTATCTGTTTCAATTTTTTAATTGCCTGAGTTATTTTTGAAACATGTCATTTATTCCGCAGCTGTACGGATTTCTGGAGGTAATTTCAAGATTTTGGAAGAAATGAAGAGTTACATTGTGCGTGTTGAACTATACGACGAAAATGATAATAGAATATACCCTGCAGAAGTTAGTCTGTTTATAATGTCATTGGTACTCTGTTTCAAACATTTGTTAAAATGTATGCTTAGTACAAAATTTTCAGTTTTTCATCTATCCTGTTATAGTCATATTTTTATCTTATTTATAATAACGTAACATTATGCCTGAAATTAATTTCTTAATTTTCAGAATTTAAGACTGAGTGTAAGCTTCCCATCACGACTTTTCTACTTAAATTCCACTACTGCAAATGGCACTTATCATGTAATTCAAGCCATAGCACCTGGATCCGGCACCATACGGGCTGAACTCAAAGGCGTTATTACGGAGGTGTGTTTAATATTTCAATTTTATATTTTTGAAATATAGGTAACGTCTTAAGTAGCGATGCTACTATTAATGAACAGTTTGGGAGATGGACATGTTTGTGTGGTTGGTATTTTATAGAGTATTACGTAAACCACAGGATAAAAGTAGAATGAAATTTTTATAAGTTTAACTCAATTAAGTGCTAAATATTTGAACAGAAAGACAAAATTCTGTGATAGAGACAAAAATGTAATCGTGGGAAGACATTAGACGTTAAAAGTTGGCAGCATATCTAGTATTATTTATTGAAATTCATTCTTTTAGTTGTTTTTCCGTCCAGACGCGAAAGTGGTTAGTGACTCTGACTGCCGTACCGAACGGCCCGCGTTCAGATCCCGGAGAAGGCACGGATGTTAATTGCCTGTCCCTTCATAGGGGTAACGGTGGCTGCCTTTTAGGTGGCTCCATCATAATGTTAATTGCCTGTCTCCATAATAATGTTAATTGCATGTCTCCATAATAATGTTAATTGCCTGTCCCTTCATAGGAGGTAACGATGGCTGCCTTTTAGGTCTCTCCATAATAATATGACCACTGCTTCTGGCCTTATTAGTGGCGAAAGCCTAAAATAGCTAGTGGTCGCCATATTAAGGGCAAAAAAAAACTTTAGTTGTGCTTATATTCTTTTAAGGTCTATTATAATATAACAGTTGTAACTTTAATTTTATTACTTAAAAGTCTCTTTCTGTTTGCAGAATACACAGTAAATAATTGTACTCTTCATTTACCATTTCTCTAATAATATTTGTGATAATTTTTTCGATATTTGTAATCATGAATATTAGGGATGGGCTGTTTGAATTTTCAAATCTCACGAATCCAGAAAAAAAGATTGGAAATTCGAAATCTTCAATCTTCGCACTTTTATTTTATTTAATTTTTTAGCCATTGGAATATTTCGAATTATAATCTCATAAACTATTAAAAATTTTTATTGAAAATTTTTGAAGGAATATTTTATTGAAATCCATTAAAAGTGTTCATTACAAAAGGGCTCAAAATTTGACAAAACTCTGTAAAACGTATTTACTCTTACTACAGTTCTCAGAGAGACTGTTTGTTTCATCAAGCATCATAGCTGATAAAAAAGTTAAGTAGGCTGCATTCTAGTAGAGAGTTCAAATGTTAATTTTGTTAAGTAAAAAATCTTCTTTAAAGGTTTTTTGCTTTTTTAAAATTACCCTAGAAGTGTTCATTGGTTTAATGCTTTTAAGTCCCCTTACAATACATCAGTTTTTGATTTTTTTTAAATTTCTGAGAAGACTTTTAATGTTGGTCTATGTTAAATTTTGAAATAATCCTCTCCTCTCCTCTCTACGCTTGCTTTGATTTAAAAAGAGTCTGGAAAAATGTAAAGTTTTTGACATGCTGATCCAATCTATTTTTGTAAAATTAATGTTGAAAATATGAAAAATAAGACAGAGTTTTAATTATGTACCCCATTTTCTAAAATTCGTTTGCATCATCTTAATAAAGATAAATGCATTTTAAAAGACCGATTTCTTAAATATGTATTTCATTAAAAAGCAGGTTTCACAAATTTTCCTTTAATTAAAAATTTTTAGTAAATTAAAGCTTTCTTCCTGATTATTTTTACTGTACTTGAAGGATTCGAGATATTCGAAAAACTAGAGAATTTTTCAGGATTCGGATTCAGGAAAATTTAAGATTCGTTTCGCGTACATCTTTTTCAGGTACATCAATAAAACTAATAACCAATACAAATAAACCGCAATGAGTCACAAATTCTTATTAGGAAAAAATTAAAGCCTTATTTTAATATGACCTTTGTACTAACCAGCGGTCGGGCTTGCCGCGTGCTACTTTTGTAATTTTCCCCATGTGTGACGCGGATACGAGCGAGTTTCCCCTAAAAACTTCTCCCCGGAGATATCCCTTCCTCAGGCAAATATGCCTCGTTTTCTTTACTTTAATTACAAAAAATAAGATCAAATAAATAATAATCTGACCCTTGTGTCACCTAAATTTCTAGATGACAAACAAATGACAGTAAACTTGCCATGATGTTCATGCTGTTATTAATAATTAATTTGCAAAAAAATGACGGATAAAAGAAGTAATTTCTCATGAGAATGATTTTATGTACTACAACGTCTCCTATGTCGACCATCTCTGAAAGTTACCAGTATGTCTAAAAACGCAATTAAATAACAATATTGAATATGGCTTTTCTTTACAGCAATCATCTTTACGGAAGACCAGAATACTCAGGATTTGTGTGTTCTCATCTTAGACAAGTTTTGATTTGTTTTAAATGTTGTCAGAGTAAAATAAGATAAAGGAGTAATGTTTCACGGTTAAATACTGGAAGAAAGTTTTTCATCTAGGGGAAAAAATAGTCTCTAAATTATTATAGTATTTTTAGGAATTATGTACAATCGCACTGTGAAACATACCTAAGACAAGCATGAAAATTTAAATAAATGTGTATATATATATACACTCATGTCCATAAATTAAGGATAATTCGGAGTCACGCGGAAATCGAACTCTAAAATAAATATATCACCTGTAAAATCACTACACACATCTTCATGAATCATATGCAAATTTCAGGAAGTAACCAGATGACACCGATGGTACGTCACAATGACGAGAGTGTAAGAGAGTGATATATAAGGAATACAGGCAAAGAAGTAAAATTGTTTGCAGGCGCTTTATAAGCATTTCACTGTAATAACCGAATAGTTATGACACAAAGGACGCATTTGGATGATTTTTTACGTGGTAGAATTATCGGCCGTCTGGAATGTGGGCGTACCCAACTGGAAGTATCAGACGAACTTGGAAATGACCAGAGTGTCTTCTCCGGGCTTTGGCAACGATTCCAAGATGATGGTAATGTGAGTAGACGTCACAGCACAGGTCGCCCCAGAGTTACAACGCCGAATGAGGACCGGTATTTGGCAGTTAATGCCAAAAGAAACAGGCGGAGCACCAACCTCAGACCTGTCCGTCAGCTCTCTTCAGCCACTGGTACGACAATTTCAAGGCAGACCGTGTACAGACGCTTAGGGCAGATTGATCTATATGCTCGTAGACCTGTCAGATGCGTTCCACTTACTGCAACTCACTGTCGCCTGAGGTCAGCCTGGAGTAGAGAGCATGCATAGTGGGCACCGCAACAGTGGGCTTGTGTGATGTTTTCCGACGAGTCCAGGTTTAGCTTGCAGTCTGATTCTCGCCGGACTTTCATATGGAGAGCTCCAGGTACCCGTTACCACCAAGAAAACATCATTGAACGACACCGTTACGATGGTGCAGGAGTGCTCGTTTGGGGCGGAATTATTCTGGGTTACAAAACTGACCTGCATGTTCAAATTGGAACCATGACAAGCCAAATCTATCGGGACATCATTCTGGAACAGCATGTACGTTTGTTTCGGGGCGCTATGGGCGCACAATTTGTGTTTATGGATGACAACGCCCGTCCTCACCGTGCAAACATCGTAAGCGAATGCCTTCAATCGGAGGATATCACCCGTATGGACTGGCCAGCATTCTCACCGGACTTGAATCCAGTAGAGCACGTGTGGGACATGCTTGGCCGACGAGTTACAGCCCGTCAACCTCCTCCTGCATGTCTACCGGAACTTCGGAGAGAATTGCTTTTTGAGTGGTGTAATATCCCCCAAGATCAGATCGATAATTTGATACTCAGCATTCCTAGGCGTTGTACGGACTGTATTGCATCGTCTGGGAGACATACAGTGTATTAACAATCATACCAACCATGTAATATTGATTTTTTTCTAAATAGTTTTTTTTTTTTTTTTTTTGTAATTTGCTCCAGGGAGGAAAAAATCGCTAATTTTTTTAATAATATCAAACATATAGCATCTTTCTTTGCGCTTTACCTTTTGTTTAATAAATAAGCTTTACAAATAAGTCAAATTTGTTTTGCTTCTAACTCTTTCTTTGCCTGATTTTGCATTATCCTTAATTTATGGACATGAGTGTATATATATATATATATTGTAATTTTAATTGCAAGTTTTAAAATGTTTTTTAACCACTTGAAAAATATATTCGTATTTTTAATAAGGCTAATTGATCCAAGATTTTAAATTATTCAGACAAATATTTTGGGAGTTACACTGAGATTTGCATATGTTTGCCTTGACATTGCATTCATATAGCTATCGATGTTTCTTTTCTATGAATTCCATGTATAGGTAAATGGTATAAATTGGCGTTATATGTATTTCTAACGGTGTAAATCCATTTTTTTTCGAAACTTGTAAATCCATTTTACGTGTCCATATCACGTACTTGTAAATCCATATTTGTAAATCCATATCACGTGTAAATCCATATCACGTGTCTGTAGAGCTATTTGTAACAGCGATGTTGCCAATTCACCAACATAACATTACCACTTAATCCTTCTAATTATGCCTTGCTTATGAATAGCCCAGTAATCTGTTTAGAAACAATATAACTCTCATTAAAATACTTATGGCTGGCAACGAATTATTAGTAGAATATTCGCTACCTAAATAACCACTTCTATGTTCTGATTTCGTGATTATGGATAAGAAGGAATAATAAAGTATATACAGATATAAATACTGTTGTTGATATATGTGTATATAAACTCACGTCTACGTAAGCATTTCTTCCATTAATGCAATACATGCGTTGCGTGCGTACGGGTTCGTAATAGACTGAATGCACACAGCTCCGATGAAAGGTTGATAAACTTTATTTTATCGAAATAAATACTTCATAGTTCTGGAACTTTCCACAAAAAGAGTCGTACAGCTCTTCACGGTATCACAGAATACAATCAGTAGTTACATTTTAAACTACTAAGAACGTTAAACACAACGCAATGCAAAGTGCATCTAAAGAGCGAAGCTAACCCGGAATTATCTCAGTACTCCGACTCACGTTGAAATAACAACTAACAATACGACTGAGAGCAGATGCTTTCTCCGGTCTTATGAGAGCAGATGTTCTTTCCGACCACCGAGATATTTCTAGTACTTTCCGCTCCTCGAAATTATGGGAAGGCACATGAGGGTCGAATTACGATTACAACTAATATACTGACCAATTACATTTTATTCAATTACAATACCTATTACCGAGATACAGGGACCGGACCAAAATGTCACCAAGTTTGGCGAGTTTAGGCGTTTTATCGGCATATTTGGAGGCAAAAATTAGTTGCCAGCTTGGTGATATCTCGCCAAATTATAGAGATAGCCATTTACTCAATGTTGGACTTACCCGTGTATTCTTACTTTTCCAGCAAGGTTCGCTTTAGATTTTCATGTTAAATTATACAAAAGAAATACAACAAATTTACACCTAAGTTCACTGAAATTATCCATATATGTACAAAAATTCGTAACACATGAAAAAAAGTGTTTATTACCATATATTCTTTTTATTCCACTATAAAATTAGTATGATTCAGTGATCGTACCATCATCACCTAGCTGGATATATTTACTTCTGGATCAAGCTGCACATTTATATTTAAGCGAATTTACTTTCTTTGAAAATATCGTTTGAAGTATAAAAGTATGCTACACTTAATAAAAATTGTTTTTAAAGTGTTCTTTTTAGGGATTAATTTTAACTTGAGAGACATAAAATGAATGCTTTGCTGATATATTTTAGGTAATTCGCAATTTTGCAGGATGGGATAAAAAAAGAAAATGCAGTTGTAGGATCGGAGGAAGTAACAGTGTGCCAAAAGCTTCAGATTTTCCCTCCTCGCTTACTATTGCCGTCGGATTCACCTAGCATCCCGTTGCACAAGGTTCAGTTTACGGTAAGTTATTCATCTCATTACATAAGGTTCATTTTAACAACGATAATTATTTGCTGTTAATATACACATACAGATTCTTTAATGTTTACAGTGTAGTGCTGCTTAACGTAATGTGGAGAAAAAGGTGTTTCTTCAGTGTATCAGTGATAAATCAGATATAATGAATTATTATTTATTTCATATATTATTACTTATGAATTGATTTTCAGCAGATAATAAATTTAAAATATGTTTACAAAAAATGTCACCAGCCCTGAAAAGGCAAAGAATGGAAACTAAAATGCAAAAGTCGTTTACACATTTTTATAACGATATCTATAAATAAGTTTTAAAAAATGCTGTTGAATAAACGTTATTAGCAACTGCTTATAATTTGAAATGAGAAATATCACCTGCCTCTTTTAAAATATTGCATGTACACAAGCTGTGGATTGAAGGATATGTGTTTGCTCTTTCCGAAGAGAAATATTCCTATTCCTGACTCAAAAACATAGTGAAATGCATGGTATTAAAATTTCTAAGCGCAAAATAAGCAATTTTATTAATCGATAAGAGGAAAGGCTTTAGTCATTACTTCTACATAGAAAGAAGACTTCAAACGAATACCCTAAAAAGGTACGTACTGTTTCTAATGTTTCTAAAGTTAAATCGTTGGTAAGAACAGAAAATCCGCCAATGCAAAAGTCAGTTACAAAGTCTTTATATACTTCTTTAGCAAAAATAAAGAAGAAAATAAACCAAAATTTACAGCTTTAAAAAACTAAGAAACACAATGTTCACCAATTGTAGTCGAGGCATATGGCTCAACGCAGAACAAGGTGTAGAATTCTGTTTGAAAACTATTTAGCTGGAGATAAATGGAAATATACTGTGACCCTTCAGGACGCATGGATTTACCTAAATGATTGCAACAAGAAAAGGTATATTTACTATCGAAAACGAAGAGACAAAGCGTACAAGCCTGGTTCCGTCAATTCAAAGAAAGTTTCTATAAGGAGTTTATGAGTTTGTGATTGTCTCAGGATTCTCTAAAAATAAGTAGAATCAAAAAGAGTGTTAAAATCCACTTAAAGTACTATTAAGAGAAGGTTTTATGTCCGATATGTATAGAAAAACTTCACGGAAAAGCCCTTCCCAAGCGCAAACCCATCACGACTGAGGGACTCTAGGAAATAATGGAAGAATGGAAATCGATGTCCTTGGAAATTTTACGAAAAGCGACCATGGAAATTACGACGCAGACTAGAAAAAAAAAAGAAAAAAGCTATCAAATCGAACATTAAAAAATACTCCTTACATTTTAAAAACTAATTAAATGGCCTCAAAATCGTTCTAAAAATATGTAAATACCCTCTGTATCAAAGTGGTAGAACATACGTTAGTATGTTTACATACTTTGTGAAAGGTGATTTCTTCCTCAAGGTATTTCAGTATCACATCGATCTTACATTTTAGCAGCAAATTATCGCTTTAAGCTAAATCAAGACAAATGGAGAGGTTTTTATTGATCGGCCCTCTTTAAAAAGTGAAAGCACGTGCCTTTGACTGAGTAATTTAAAAGAATATGGAATGATTAACCCGGAGGAAAATTAATGTAAATTAAACGTTTAAAACGTGTAGTTAAAATTTACTTTGATTTACATTACTCTGATAAACATGAAGTTCTTTGTATTTTACAGGGTATATAAACTTAGCAAAATATACAAGCTTTCAGCATTTCAATCCAAATTTACGCGCAAAATGTGCTGTAGATCCTTAATCTAATTTTGGCTATATTATTGAAATTATTTCAGCGCAAATTTAACTTATATTACAAAGACCATCCAGTTTGCATATTAGTGAATAACAGAAGACGGAAGACAGCTCTTTCTAAGCTTATAAGCGTTCATGACCGGATTCTTTCTTCCAGGGCCAGAACATACTATTTTCGACATATCTAAAATGTCTTGACTCTTCTTTTCCCAAGCATTAGATTGCCAAAGACAAGTAGATCATCACTGGAGCTAGGCCTTTTTCTCGGATTACTTAGAAGTGTATGAAATAACGAATTTGGTCTAATTTTGTACACCAGACCTCCGAATTCAAGAAGCAATAACAAAATTTAAGAAAGCAAAACAGAACTTACCCTAAGATGAAAACTTCTTCCTCGGGCAACGCTGATTTAATTTCAAATGATCCCTCGCTATTTGATGATCCCTCGCCCCTAACTTGATTAAAAGTGACTTTTTTTAGGCCATAATCAGAGGAATATGCATTAATCGAGACTTTAATAAATGATTCGTATTCCGTTAACTTATTTGCTTTTAGAAATTGTTTCATATCGATTACAAGAAAAGTTAAAATGTATGTCTGCTGTATTAATTAAAAAAAAAAAAAAAAAGTTGTCCTTTTTTTAAATTTCTACTATTAGCTCACACTCTCCCTATATCTTGTTCAAATTTTCAATTGTTAATAAAATACTTTTTATTCATCCACTTAAATTCAAATAAATTCTTTTAAACTTGTAGTGGGTGGCACTTGATGTTAATACAATTTTTTCACATATTAAAAATTTTTTTAATTTGTAATTTAAATTCTTTTTTGTATTTAAAATTTGTTTATATTTTAAAAATTTCTTTTGTTGACCTAAGTAGTAATTGACTTTAAAATTTTTTAGTTAATTATTAATTATTTAATTTTCAATCATAAATAAAATGCTTTTTATTCATCCACTCATGTACAAATACATTTTTTAAACTTGTAGTGGATAACAAGTGGATAATATTTGTAGTGGATAATATTTGGTGTTAATACAGTTTTAAAAAAGTTTTACAAATTTTTAATTTAAAAAGTTCGTATTTTTAAAACTTTTTGTATTTTAAAATTTTTTTTTCACATTTAAAATTTTTTTTGTATTTTTAAAATTTTTCCTTGTTGACCTAAGTAGGAATTGACTTAATATTTTTTTTAATATTACTTGTTAAATTTCTTTTTACTTTTTTGTGCACTGATTCATTTTGAACTGAAAATGCTCTGTGATCCATACGTGTATACTTACTAATGAAGGTGGGGAAGGCAAAATACTGCTTAGGATTCTTCCATGTCGGACTAATTGTTAATTTAAAAATGTTAACTATCTTATTTCTTTTATGTGATGTAATGTGTACTTTGGTAGAAATGATTTTAAAATTAAACTGCTGTTTCGTGTCTTTTACGTTTGCAAATCATTTAAAATTAATATAATTTAAAATATTCTTTGACGTTTCAAAAATTACAGTGCTTTTTACTAGAAAATCCAGCTGATAAATACAGGCAATTAATTAAATATATCCTACTTGAGATCGAAATAACCTGTAGTAACACTGTGTTCCTAAAATCTAACAAATGTTTAGAGAAATAAGGAAAGAAAGTTGTGGCATAGAACTATTATAAAGCATTTATCCACATTTAAATTTTGAGCGAAATTTTATTCTATGATTCTAAATAAAATGTCGTACACTGTGTGTTGTTTTTTGTGTAGTTTAGTAATACTTTTTCTGTTTTCCTAAGATACAATTTAATTTTTCAGGTAACAGGAGGTACTGGAAAGTACTCATGGGCTTCAAGTAATACGTCCGCAGCGACTGTAATCTTTGACGAGAAAAACAGCAACATTGCTAAACTTCAAATTTATAAAGAAGGAGATTTGTATATTACAGTTACTGATAGAAATAACATTAATTTCTTTTCCGCTGTAAAGGTAAGTGGTTTCTTTTTTTTTCTCAGAATACGATTTCGGTTATTTATAATATATTTGTCTTTATTAGTTACCCTTTATACATCTGGTAAAAGGAATAACTGTAGTAATCCTTGATTTGTCAGCAACACAGACATCTCATTAAATCAATCATCTAATGAAGTGAAGTGAAGTGTTTATTACATAGAGGCGTTGAGTTCTAATTCTTCAAAACAGGTAATACTGGCAAACCCCCATAAAAAAAAAGTGCGCGCAATTTCTTAATGTGTACTTGCAGCTGTGCTATTTAATAGTATATTATAAATTATAAAACATTTTTGTATTTGATTCTAAATTTCAAGTGTTCTATTTTAACATGAAATAATTCCTGAACTTGAGTAGTATACATTTTTGCGGAAAAAGAAAGCAACCAACAGGTCCGGTTGTTACGTCAACGTTTATGCACATTTGGCAAAACTTAAATCGGTTTCATTATGTAAAATAGAAGGGAACAAAAAAAAAAAAAAAAAAAAAACCCTCCAACATTGATCAATAATTAACTGACAGAAACGTATATTGTTATCAGTGAGATAAAAATGACCAAAGCAAACAGCTTTAAAATAGTACATTGATAACTAAGCGGAAAATTTTACTATATTTTACAGTATCGAAGCGAGGCGAAATCTGACGCTACTATTCTGTAGAAAGAATATACAAAAAGGGTGTTTTAAAAAGAAGGGACAAACTTTAAGAGATCGTAGAACATACAGAAATAGTAATTTTTATCAAAAAATGCTTGGTCAAAAATGAAACTGGACTTCCTTGTCAGTAGCTTAAGTTCCATAAACATGAAAGCGCCATTCTTTGCACACACTGTCATTCTCAACTTCAAATTTTGAGTCTATACAGCAGTATACGAATGCCGAAAACATGGTATGCACTTCATGTTCTGAACTGCCAAAGAAAATATCAAAGAGGCGTAACGATTATACAGGGAGCTTTTTCCCAATAAGAGATTAAGCAGTCATAAAACATTTCAGTGTTTCCTTCTGCACTTGTGTGATCCTGGAATTTTTTCCCTGACTACCGAATTTGATGTAGGTGGTTCAAGGACTGTGTGAACTACGGAATGGAAGAGAACATTCTAGCTATCGTAGCTTATTCGTCCAAATAATAAGCGTGAGAGCCGGTTAGACATAGCATTACTGTGCTCTATTCCATAATATGGTGGGTGTTCTCGGATGAACCGATATAATTTTTAAACAGTGAAAGTCTTGATTGCTGGAGATTTACTCATCGTATGGACTTCAGGCGCTAGTTTTTGCCGCAGAGTGCGGGGATACTGGATTTTCCGTCCACTGTTTTGTTCACGGATGAAGTTACATTCACACATGATAGTGTATTTAGCATGCACATTGCGGATGCATGAGTGAGTGTGAATTCGTTGCCAACGCGTGCATATGCACATCAGCAGTGAATAAATGTTTTTCCAAAAACGATCTGTCCTCTGTTATGCTGAAATGGTTTTATGGGAGAAAGTACCTTATTAGCCGCTTGGAATCTTACCAGAATTTCCAGCAGCCATACCGTAGTGTATGTGATTCCAGCAAGATTTAAGGAAGCACCAGATCATTTTCAGTACGTCGTATGTGGATGTCATTTCTTCACGCTAATGGAGTGGGTAGCGTGGTTTCATACTTTGTCCCTCTTAAGATCACCCGACGTGTTCTGTTTTCTTTATTGGGGATAATAAAGAGTCTCATCTGTGAATCTACGAAGAATTCTTCACGATAATTTCTGTTCGCTGCCGCGGCTTTATGGAAGTACCTGGTATGGTAAAAAATGTCCACACTATCGCCGATGAAAGGGGAGCTAATGCTCCCCTTTCATCGGCTAATGCTCCCCAAGATAACCATAATTGGTTGGCGATCATTCTTTCTAACAGATAACTGTAACTACAGGCGGCCCTAGACTTTCACACAATTTGCTACTTCCCCCATCTTTAAAAATTAAATTCTTTAAAGATTTTTGTCGCTATTGTAAAACTGTTCGCTTCCATGCAGCCGCTCGCACTTACGTTGATCAGAGTGGTGCATTACTGTAGTTCTCGAGTTCGAGACCTAATTTCCATCAAGAAATAGCCCGTGCGAGCACATCAGCCTGTTAATAAACATATTAATGATGCATACTTGTATGAAATTTAGAACGTAATGTCGCAAGCATTTTCTTTAAGCTTCCAGAAAGTAGAAAAACAAACTGTGGAGCTGGTTGCTGCCTTAATATTTAAAGATTAGTTCACTTTCACTTCGTACCGGTCATTAAACAATACTAAGAACACATTTACATTTTAAAGTATTATTAATCTTAGACAATGCTCTAACTAAAACTAAACTGGGTAGGGCAACAGGCCTGCAGTGCCCCGAAATCTGTTTTCTTGACCTTGTGCCCCGAAGTGCACCAATATTGCCCTGGGCTAGTGGTCAGCTTGTCGCCGGACCCCCGCTGTTTAGTCCCCAAGCGAACTTGGTACTCATTTTATCGACCCACTCTAGACATGAAGGGCTGAGTCAACCTGGCCCAGCCCGAGAATCGAATCGTGGACCTGTGGTGCAACGGCGCGACGCGCCAGCCGCTTTATACAATGCTCTAGGACACCCAAAGTCTCCAGAATTTATATCCGGAAATCAGTGTTGTGTTTCTTACTCCCTTACTGGCTCATAAAGGCCATAGATCAAACAGTGATAGCTACGTTTAAATGATATTATAGGAGGACAATAATGAATTGGGTTAATGGCAGGGAAGGTGGGCGTACATTAAGAAATTTTTAGAAGACTATAATAGATGGAAAGCAATAAACAATTCTGGAGACTCGTAGGCTGAAATAAAAGAATCAACAACGAAAGGTTCCTGGAAACATCTATGCTTTCAAATTGTGAGTGATTTTATAAATTTTGAAGAAACTCCAGCAATTATCACAGATGAAATAGTTAACTTAATGAAAGAACTAAGAAGTCAATAATGAAGAAGTTAAGGAACTGATTGAATCTCACTCAATACTTCTGTCAAATCAATGCTTAATTGAGCAAAAGAATTGAACAAAATTTACAATGAAAGTGAGGAAGAAAAAATGATGGGTGGTATTCAACTCACTCATGACGAATTTATAAAGAAAACACCTGAAAGCCCTTAACACGCCTCATTAACTTAATTATATATATTGATAAATAAATGTCCTAAAGTACAGTTTTTAATGGTTTATTTTGCATCCTCTATTTTTGAACATTCAAAATTCGCACATATTGCCAGGAACCAATTACGTGCGAAAGACGAGGGCCCACATGTATTCATAATTAAAACTTTTTTTAAAAAATCTTTTGTGTTATCCTTATATTTGAATTTCATCTCTTCGCCCTCACCATCGAGCGCTTTTACGTTTTTGACCATTCATTCTGGAGGAAGGATGGGAAAGATTCGATGCCTTCTACTATTTCTTAAATTTTATTTTATCTTTATTGAAATACTCTTATACATACATTAGGAAAAAATAGAAAAGCAGTAGCAAGCATTGGTAAAACAACTTGTAAAGTAGTAAATAACGTAAAAAAGTACTCGCCTTTAGCTTTTATATATTATGTAAGACACTGCAGAAATATGTTATGTTGTAGGATTTCCATTCCTGAACTCTTCAACTTCCCCTCGCATTTCCTCGCCAGGATATAAATTTAAAGTTAAGTGAAGTGAGTATTTAAACGGGTGAATATCGGAGTTTATTCAGAGCGTGTTTTCGCTAGCCAGCGCACGTTTCGTTTCTGACCTTGCTGTTACGTCGATGCACCTTTTGGCCATTTCGAGTAGTTATCACGCTTGTTAGGTTTGTCGAGTCAACCTAGATTAGCCCTTACTTAAAGTGCTAGACCAGCAGTACTCTCTTTTTAGATTTGGATTTATTGTGTTTACAAATTCTTAGTTTGCACTGCAACTTGTCGGTGTTATTGTAAAGCACGAAGTACGTGTTTTTCTGTTCATAGTTGGAATTAATAAATGGTCATTTTCATCCTTCTTCTGTGCTGGCAATTACTTCACGCCCGTGCGAGAAGTCGCCAGGTTCATTAGTAGGATCTAGTTTAGTTTATGCGGAAAAGGAGAGATAGATCCTATGGTGTAAGATACTTTGAAAATAATTAAATAATAAAAATAACTGCTTTAACTAAGGTAGAACCCCACGTATCCAAACTAGGCAGAACAAAGCCTATTTAATAAAATTCATAAAGGCTTCTCTCTCATCGCTGTATTTCTGTATTACGCTCATCTAACTGTATTACGCTGCCATTTAATGAGGAAGAAAAATGAAAATAAGTTCCTGAAGAAAGATTTCATCATTCACAATTTATTTGTTATTATTATTATTATACTGACATATAATGACAACATGATGATGTATTTCCCCTCCCCCGTTATAAAAGCATTTTATTTCAAAAGAATCAAACGATGTATGAAAAAAAAAATGAGTGTTATTATGTCTTGCAGATTCAAACTTATTTTCACTACCATTTCTCTTAAACTGAATTTCTGTTTTAATGTAAATAGGATAATTTAATACAGTAATATCATAGCTCTTCATAAAATTATTATTTATTGCTCACTTAACTGCTTATAATACGGAGTTAATTTAAAGGTAAACTTTTTTGTGTTTACTTATTGATCAAGTTTAAATTACCTTTCAGGTACAGTATTACAACCGGTTGTTTTTTTCTTCCCCCCCCCATCTTTTCTTTTTATTACCTGTTTCGAAGTACATAATTTATGTTCTAACATAAAGAAATTAAAGATGGTAAATACTATTAAGGCTTATCTATTAGCTTTATATAATTGACTTTGAAATTTCTGAAGTAATGACATAGTTTTTAAAGAAGCTGTTTTACATAAAAATGTACAGATTCTAAGATGAGTTTACTTACACTGACATAAAAGTTGCAATTCAATTATTATAAGTCCGTAATCAAAATAACATAATTGTCAAGGTGAGTAAATTATAATATGCAATATCATAGAGTAACTAAACACTTACATTCACAAAAATTGTCCAGACCTGGACTTTCAATTTACTTATGATTCAGATAAATAAGATTTAAAGGCAAAAGAATTTTTTGAAAAATGCTTTTTTATTAGGTATCTGTCCAGCCAGTTATTGATATTGAAGTGTATCCCACTGTTGTGGAAACTGAAATTGGAAATACGTTGATTATTCCTACTGCGATTCTTGGCTATGAAGATGAAGGTAAATATAATTATCTTGTATTAAAAAATTATACTGATGTGTTTAAGCTTAAATTGATCACCTGCTTAAATTCTTTCACTTAAGCATTTACTTAATTTTATTTCGTAGTGTTGTATTTTTTGTTTTATTAAGAAAAATTGCCTTAGATAGACAAATTTCAGTATATCATAGTTTGAGGGTCTCCATGCCGCACAGACTCTATATATTTACAGATATCGATGCCATTTTTAGGATTCGAACCCTAGCCCTTCTGTACGGCAGTCAGCGTCACAAACCACGTTCTCATCTGGGCGGGTGTTGGTTATTGTATTATTCCTGATAAAATACTCTAATTTGATGTAATAGATAAGCGTCAGAAATGAGATTATTGACCTTGGTTCTCCAATTGTTAATACACCTACGATATGGAGAAATCAAATCAATATGACTGTAATTTCTGAGGGCGGGGACCGATGTGTAAGTAATAGAATTCTATTCAAACTGCTTTGCGTTAACTGCAAGTTTCTTTTTTTTACATTAAGAACAAGTACCCCGCTAATCATTAAAATTGTTACACGATGAAGGCGGTATGCAACAAATGTCAAATTTGCATCAAGGGTACTGCATGCTGGGATATGCAAATGAGTAACATTCCAACGCATGCACACAAAGCAGGTATGAGTAATTCTATCTACATTGTGTATAAATGGAAAGACTGTACAGCGGGTTTCTTTTTTGGAAATATTACTTGAACGTTGGTTGTTTTATAAAGGTCATGTTATGCCGCGTGTAAGGAGGAGAAACTCCTACCAGCATGTGGCGGAATTCGACCGTGCAAGATCGTGACCTATCGGGACTGCTGTTTATCGTTCTGCGACATTACTGCTGGTGTTGGTAGAGTTCCCATGACTGTTAGGCGAATGTGAAATCTATAGTTCCAGGAGGGCTATAGTGAATGTCATGCATAACCTCAAAAGGCCCGGAGCCATTAACGCTCCAAAAGACAGATTGCCTTCTCGGTCTTACGACATCGTAGAGCCGCGTCACGTACCCTAAATCAGGAACTTGTCTTATGTGTCTTATGTTGTGCCCGAGAGGACAGTGCGAAGACGTCTGAAGCACGTCGTTCTGTCGATCATTGTTGCACCTTCTCTTGACGTTGCAGCAGATTCAGGTGCGCCTACAGTGGCGCGACGAAACACGGCAATAATGGATACAGGAGTGACATCACGTTATCTTTTTAGACGAAACGCGATTCTGCGTATGCATCATGATGGACATGTCAGTTTGTGAACGCAGACAGAAGAAAGAACGTTACCATCTTGCATTCGTCATCTTCATACGGACCTAGCACCTGCCGTTCTGATATGTGGGGGGGGCACATTGGATATACTTCTCGGTCACTTCTTTTTTGCATAACCGGTAATGTGGACAACCTTCGTTATATTTCTAACATGTAAAGCTGTGCTCTATCTTGGAGGCCTACGTGGCGCCATATTCCAACAAGATAGTACACGACTGCACGTTGCTCGTGCAGTCCTAACCTTCCTCGGTACAGAGGGCGTTCGATTGTTGCTCAGGCCAACTCATTCTCCAGTTCTCTCATTCACTGAGAACGTCTAATTATGAGTTTCCAAGAGACTGATATGCCGTTAACCGCCATTCACTACGATTAATGAACTCTGCCATAAAGTTGAAGCCTCATAGATTGAAGTATCTGTTATCCAAGCTCAGTTCGATTCGTACAGTCGTTGTTGCTGCCAGAAGTGGCAGCTTTGTGCACTGAATCCTGTGCTCTGTGTGTTTAAACCGCTTGTAAATTTAATAATGTCCTCCTACTGTATTGTACATGTACAAAAAAATAGGATTCCGTTATTTGCTTTCCTTCTTGGTATAGCAATTTTAATGGCCAGAAGCGTATTATGTATTTTATGTCTTTACTTGTAAGATGTTTAAAGTTAGATATATAGTGCTTTCACTGCAAATTAGGATAAAATACAGCGTATTTTAAATAAAGCTATCTGTGTAAAATTTCTTCAAAAATATTAAGTCAACTTCTAATGCTTAGGATAAGGCAAGCAGCCCATCTGTCGAGAGAGCTGTAAATATCCTTTATATAACTCAAAATCAAGTTGTTTGAATGACCAAACGTAACTCCATTTTACACCAGAAACTAATACAGTCTCTATCTCTTCTATTGCAGAAAAGAAAATAATTCGAAAATTTGATGAATGCACCACAATCGAGCCTATAGTAGAAATAATTGACAAGCATGTTGTATCATATGAGAAAGGTAAGTGGTTAATTGCATAATGTATTATCATCAAATTTTCACAGTTCAATGTTTTCTTATTTGCAGGGATCCTTTGTGTTTTTAATTAATTGTTTTGCCTCTATTTTCCAGTGCTTTTGTTTTCTTAATTAATGCATCCATTTTTCAATGCCTCTATTTTCGTAATTGTTACCACCATTTTTCAATGCTTTCATTTTAAATTATGAGCTGATACTAACCAATTTACATTCTACAAAAAGCAAAGATTCTAATTTCCTGTTGAAAATTATCAAAGGTTGCATTCGAATCACTTTTCTTGAAATATAGTAAAGTAGCCCTATGTATTTTTAGCTATTCCTTAAAATACTGTAAATTAGGATAAAATTTTAATTAATTTTGAAAAAACTAAATTGAAATAAAATTTCATTTTTTCTTTTCAAAGCAAAAAAACGAGACTACTATCTACAGCAAGGATTTGAGTGTGGAACGAAAAGTATATCCTTTCAATATTTAAGTCTATGTATATAATCTTTATGATTTCATATTGATATTTTTATATTAAATGTAATTAATAATAATCAGACTTCATATAGAAAGTATTCTGCATTTACAGTTAAATACGCTTAAAAGAAGTCTTGTCCATTGAGGGTTAAGTAACGTATACCTCATCACGAAATGACGAGGAATTTTAAATGCCCATCTCTGTATGTATTTTTTGCCTTTAATTCCATTCAATTTATTCTCCGCAGAACCTCACATACCAGCCTATGGTAAAGGATGCCTTAGTTTACAATTTAGGTGTAAAATGGCCGGCCACTCCAGAATAAACATTTTTTACAAAAAGCGAGGAGAGAAGAGCAACAATGCAACGTTTAAAACGACGACAGTTTTAGCTTGTTATAAATCATTAAAAGTATGTGAAACGGTATTATTGTTTTTTTTTTATTTTACTTCTGCTTTATTGTTTAAATATATTACTAATGTATTGCACATTCCTATTAAAATGTCTAACTACATATTGGCAGAATCAAAAAAATCATGCCAGAATTCATCGGAAGAATTAACGCTTGTAATTTCACCATATTTTCTTTGGAAACACACAAATTATACTCTATCTTAATGACATCTTAAATTAGTGATCACATTAATAAGGCATTGAGTATCGAAGTCTTTTTGCGAAATTTTATATTAAAATGCTTACTGATATTCGACGAAATTAAATAAGGGAAGCATATATCAACCGAATAATAAGGAGCGGTTTTGATTTTATTACAGTATAATGCTTAACGTGATATCTGGTGCAGACAGACGTTACTTACATATAGTGTACCGAGGGTATAATAAAACAAAGCAGATCGGTATCAGTTCTCTAACGAAGATAACTTAGTTTCTTCTAATTTGCCACGCGTTATATTCTGAATGATGCTTTTATTCAAATGAATGAGAAAAAAAATTAGCGAATAATTCAAATAACAAAATTTTACTTTCGCATAGTTTAATAACGAAGAAAGTTTAATTATCTGATACACAGCAGTAAACGAAGATGCAGCTGTTGACTACCAGTAACTGAATATAGATTACATTTCCGAAGACAGGAGCAGATTAGTTGAAATTAAGAGTGATTTTTCTCATATTTGATGGAGAAACAAACCAGTGTTTCAAAGAAATCCAATCTTTTTACATAATGTTTTTCTTGTTTACTCCATTTCTTCGAATGCTTCAGGTAATTTGGTTCTGCTCCTTCAGGTATTTTGGCGTTTTTCATTTTTCAGGTAATTTACAAAAGCAAAGGCTTCAAGTTTGGCTTTATTTTGTAAACAAATTTCAAGGTCCGATTTCAGCAATCATATGCTCATTGATATTATCTAAAGAAAGTGTAATGACATCTTTGTTGTTTGGTCAAATTCATGTTACAATTAAGATTTCAAGAATTCATGCGAAATCTGCAAATCTTTTTTTAAAAAAATGCTATAATGTTTCTTATCACGTAGCAATTGCTATAATTTACTAAAACAATGATCCTGTTTAATTCAAAACTGCAATGCAGTGGGAAAATTGTGTTATTCTAAGGGTCTTGCAATGTCGATTACGATTACATAGAACAGTTATTCCTCGGTCATTCCTTATTTGTTCTGTTAGATGATCTTCTCTATAACTTCCATCATTGCGTCCCAGGAGATTAAAGGCATCTTCGTCAAGCATTCATCGTCATATTGCTTTTTCAGCATACATGTTTCATCATTAAACGCGCATAGTAACACACTGTTCTTGTATTCATTTACTTGGATAGAATCGATTGTTGTGCTGAATACATCAATTGATGCTGAACTATTACAACGAAGCACTCTATACATCTCAATATGATTCTTCTTTTGAAGGCGTAGTACTATTAAGAACAGCTTTGAAAGGATTATTTAAACAAAAATTGGGTGCAGTTATTAAGACAGGATTTTTGGACATCTACCTAGGTAAAATAATTTTGTTTAAAAAGGATTGATTTTTGAACATTTTTAAATACAATCAAATGCATTTCGGAATTCAGAAACACTTGCATTTTCTATAAAAAAATAAATGTTTAGTTAATGTTTTTTTTAGCCAGAGTAATTTAAGAACCAATTTCATTTTCTTAGCCTGTGCATCCAGTAAGAGTAGCAGTTGCAGCACTTGGCACTTCAAAAGAAATAGCTTTTGAAGGTGGTCCCAGACGATGGCCTCTAAAGAAGGATGGGCATTATACAAAACGTACGTTGACTAAAGCTGTTTAACTCGTAAAATAATTGAGCTCTTTCTTTATGCTTATGTATAAAACACTAATTTTCCAACTATAAGTTTATAAGTTTTGTGTTATTATTTTATTTCTGTTCTTGAATTGTCTGTACTTTTACATAGGCACCGCCTTTACGTTTTTAACTTTGTGCACCACGTTTATTTTATCTATAATATAATAAATTTCAATAAAATTAATTCATGATTATATTCATTTTTTCCCAATAGTTTGAAAGCAAACTTAATATGCTTTCTGTTGACAATATTTAAGCAATGGAAGCTTTTAAGTCTTGCTGCTTCACATTATTTCATGCTTGTATGAAAATAATTTAATTCACTATTCGTGATAGGCATTTTATTTCTTATTAAATTTCTTAGCTCAAATAGATAAATAATGCAAGCGGGCGATTAAAAGTTTTTCTCACGCATAAAATATGTTAATACATAACGATATCAAATGTAATCATTAATCCATTATATATAGTAAAAGGCAGCCTAAAAATACTTTTCTTGTCTTATAAAGTGCGTAAAAACTTTCTTTCTGATATATTTATCATTACTCGTTTTCTTTAGTGTTCAGTTTTTAATCCTTCATATGGGTAAAAAAGCATTTAGGAGATTGTATTTATTTTTCGTATACCTGAAATGATTCTGTTGTGTTGATTGAATGCCTGAAGCATGTTTTTTTAGGGTATTTCATCTCCAATAATTAAAATTTCATTTAATTTTTATTTCTATTTCATGCACATTATGTACTCGTATAAAAATTTACTGAATCTTATTTTAGATACCTTATACTAAATGTGGCAACGTATATCTTTGTATACATGTTTTTTATGCATTTTAGCACACTCTATCTAGTACTGCGCACGTTTAAGACATTTTCACAACTATTAATAAATATGCCTTTCTTAATTTCTAAGACATATATGTAACACCTTGCAGTGGTAAAGGCTCAGTATTTTTGAATCTACACATTTTGTAATACTGCTAGTGTTCTAAATATTGAACAACTCACCACCTTTATTCAGACACGTACCACTTCTCATTTTTCTCCAATTTCAATCCATTGGAAATGCTTGTTAATACCCAACATCTAACACTGCCTAGAATAGTGAGATAAGATCTCATTACCTTGTTACTTTTAAACTTTTCATTAAGCATTTCTTATTAATTGAGCAATTTTGCACATTTAATTATACTGCTTACTTTTATTTTTGATAGTACTCCAGATAATACTAAACACACACATTTTTGGCTTCCTTTCTATATTATTATTTTAGTTTTTTTAATGCTTTATTTCTTATCTTTGATTTTAACCATTCCTCTTTTTTACGAGACTTAAAAGTATTTAACTTAATTTCACGTTAAATTGGAATAGATCTGGTTTTCATATAAACTGTGTGCCCTTTTGAGTTTAGTTAGCGATTTAAATTAGCTTGCCTTTCCTTCTTCCATGATGTAATTGGCACATCTTTTTCATTTCTATGTTATGTAATTTACTACCTTGATTTTTAGAATTTTTTATTTACCATATTGTACATGTCTTAGTTCTCTTAGTTAAATTATGTTCTACATAAAAGTGCGAAGTAAAGCTCTATTTAAAGATGAATCACAGAAGAAACATATATCCGGACGTTTAGGATGTCTTTAGACGTTCTCTCCAGTTTTACTGTTTTATTATGCATAAACACCTGCAGCACGGCTTATCAAATTTCATAGGAAAAGAAAGAACAACTAATAAGTTTGTTGCGCATTCCAAGCAATTATATAGAATGAGAGCCCCATGCTGTGTTAGCCCGAATCACATTACGTCGATATCCATTCTTCCGCCTTTCACTGTCACGATCAATCCCAGCACATGCATCTTTGATCAGTGTCCCCCAACTGTTCCATTGATACTGATCGAATGGGAGATTCACAAAACCTCACTGCGTTTTTGAAGACTTTTTATTTCGACGCGCGGTCACTAATAACAGAGTGCTTATAGCAAATAGTGAATTGAAGGCTATATCACTGGAGGTGTTCTTTACACATTTCTACCACTGTTCTCGGTGCTGTCTGATAATGATTTTGCATTCGTAAGATGTCAACACACAATAGGTTTTTTTTTTAACTTTATTTTTTGATCCAGTCACATTTTTTACACACTAGTAAGTGAAGCGACGACACGTTGGATTTCAAAAAAACTATAAAATCCTCAAAAGTTCTTTTTGTATGGTCTCTATATAACAATGCAGTCATTTCAATTATTTGCAAATAATAAAATGTTGAATTCAGAAAGGTTATTGTAGAGGGCATGTATTCATCAAATTAATAGAAAATATTTAAAATTAAATGAATGGCTAAATAGCTCTTGAATGGTTGGTCATAGAACTATTGCCGCAATCTAAAGAAATCAACAAAGCAGACCTTTAGACTACAGAGTTTTTGTGTCAGAGGCGCTTTTTAATGATTTACGAAGCTTAAATCTTTGTACGGCTATGGAAAATGGGGGAAAATTCTCAATCAGAAGAAAAAACTTTATACTTAAATTAGTCACCCAATAAAAAGTTACTCTCAAACGGTCAAAACTAGCCCAGGAATTAGTAATTGAAATTTTAGAGTACACTGTATATATAGAGAGAGAAGAGAGAGAGAAAGGCAGGTACGCAGGCAGGCAGACGTACTGATTCATTGATTCCAATATTTAACCAATATCGATTCGTGCATTGAAATACAACGTATTGTTTTACTGCTTTGTACTTAACTAAGTACTTCTTGACATATATTATTTGAACAATGCAAAATATTCCTGCTTTTAAACAAAAACACCAATCAAATTACTACGCATTGCAGAAAAATCAGTAAAGTAAATCATGGTAAATCATGGTCGTTGATTAGCATATTAAAGAAGACATGGTGTGCTTCTGGGGTGTTATGTTTTATAAGTCAATGTTATGAGTATTATAATGTATTTCTCCCGTCCTCTTAGCATGCCTTCGTAGTGAAATGGTCAGCACGCTCAGCGCGTAGTCGAGAGGTTCATGGTTCGAGTCCCGGTGAGAGCATTGCTCATTTTTCATCTCTCCTGCTTTCAAAAAATACTCAATGTCCCTATAGTTGCCCCCGAAATTAAAAAAGTGATGGGTGATGATTCTCCAACACCAGAATTTGGCGGTTGGGTCCCCTAATTCCTAGTCCGTAAAAGGGGGAGTATATCAGATATTTCTCCCGTCTTCTTAGCATGCCTTCGTGGTGTAATGGTCAGCACACTCGGCGCGTATTCGCGAGGGCATTGCTCATTTTCACAACTTCTGCTTCAAAATAATAACCTGATGCCTCTACAGTATAATGTAAAATTGATTCACATATGTAAAATTAGCTGTGCCCCCAATGGCATCAAGACTGCGTACCCATAAGGTTTTCTGCTTATAGTTAAGTAATATTTTTGAAAGTCCGTAAAAATTTTAACTTTGAGTTTACGTTAAATGAGGAGCAAATTTTATCGAACGTTATTTTTCAGTTTGAATGTAATTTAATTAGTATCGGTCATTTTATTAAAGCAGTAGTTACTTGCCTTGTCAAAGAAGGAAGCTCCTTAAGAAAATGCAAAGGAAAAATAAGGGAGTAAAAAGATTTAAAAAAAATTAGAGTGGGAGGAAAAAAACAAAATATTTCATTTTTTCTTACGGTTTATTAAGTGCTACACTTGAACATAAGTATGTTAAATTACACAATAATTACATCATTAATCACAAGATTCCAATTTTTGTTTTCTCAGTGTATCGGGGGGTCAGAATTAAAAGTTATCTTTTGATAAAATGAGGAAAAATATCAAATGCTTTTAACCGTATATTATACGGGCACAATACATTTTAAGCTAAGAGCGTTGTATTTTAAATATAACTAATAAAATTGATCCTATGATATTTTGAAACAGATTCCTTAGAAACATTTTGTATTCTTATTGCAGTTCATTAAATTATCTTATAAGGTTTTATCTGCGGATTACATACACATGTTCTGTTGAGCAGCTTTTGTATAATACTTAACACTCTTTAAGCTTATTTGAGATTTTTTTTCTTTATTTAGTAGAGACCAGCAATTCTGAACTCGTAACGATTGAGTTGATAAAAGATCCTATAAGATATAACAGTAAGAAGTTTTATCATTTTTTTAATCTCTAGATACACAGCATGCTAAGCACTTACTTTAAATGACACGAGTTGTTTTTTCATTTCAGAAGATTTAACGGTGTTCAGAATTCACTGTAAGGCTCTTGGAGAAAACGTAAGTGTGAAATTTTGTTAACTTATTTATATGCACAAGTATAAAAATTATATTTATATGAATAAAAATGCTGATTTCCCAAGCACTATTGGGAAAAAAATTAATGAATTTATATGAAGTGATACACAGCATCATAGCACATTAAGCACAACTAAAAATAGAGTAAAATTGTAACTGAAATAACTTACCGCAACGAAATTCTAGAAGAAAAGGGAATACTTCAGAAACAATTGCATAATTTTTAAATTAGTAGGGAATATGCTCTCAACTCGTGCACATGTTTTACAATGCGATTTCATGTCCTGCTGTTTAATTAGATTTCAGAGAAATAAGTTCTACTTTTCCTCCTGAATAATTTTCAGGGCTTTAAAGAGAACAGTTTCGCCGTGCAACAGCTGAAAGAAGGATTCTGAATTCTTAGAGAATTTTGGCTTACAACAGCTCATTCAAAAATGTCTCCATTAGCTCCGTATAGGATTCAAGTTCGGAGATTCGGCGAGCCGATTTATCTTCCCAAGGGTTACTGCTTTATATGCATGTTTCACGCATGTTATCCATAAAAAGTCAGATCTACGTGCATCTCTAAAACAGTTAAGCAGGACTGCAAACTTCATATTTGTGGACAGATATAGATCTCTTCTGAATAGTGCAAGGGAATATATCCTTTCATAATTATTGTTCTTCATGCTATCATACTTGTGCCACATAACGGTTATATGTGGTGGGCATATTTCGTATTCCTCTTTCCGTCCAGATGGAAATGCAGGATGTTGAAATGAATTTTGATTTAATATTGACGAGAACACTTTCCTTCATAGTAGAAGCCAACCCTGGCTTTCTCTGCAACAATTCAAGAAGCCCTTCTGCGTCGTGAAATTATTGAATCGATCCTTTGGCTTTTTGGCATAAAGAATTTTCTTATTAAGACTTTAATATCTAATTTGTAGCGAAACAAAAATTTCAGATGTAGCTGTAAGCTCTAAATTCAGCTCTCTAGGTATCTAGTTCCTTTTGCGACGATAATTACGGGCAGAAACCGAACTCGAAAAGCAGTTACTTTTATTCTACAATTTCGTCCTTTTAACATTCAGTCAAAGTGACTCCTTTAAAATCTTTAAATTGCTTCCATGGAGCAGAGACTATTTGTCTTGAAAAATTAAGCCATTTTACCGAAACTTTATATTTCAAAGATTATTCCAAATGATGCTTGGGTGACGTAAAAAAAATTCTCTTTAGAAATCAGATCTCGAATTGCAGAAGTTCGCGAGGAAACATATGTTTACAAATCGCCTACCATGACATCATATGACGTTATGCCACTATTTGCATTTCACAGACAGATCACTTATATTGGATTGGATAGTGATAATTAGCTTTGTCTTTTTCTCGTTTCATGGAAAAATAGATTGATTAGAATGATAATTTTAGACTCCAGTGGTGATCCCTAACAACATACAGGAAATGGTATTTGCAATCCACGACAACATATGAAGACGTAATATGTGAAACAGTTGCGATTAAAGACGTAAAGTAACATAGCATTAAAACTCAAGTCATATACATAATTGAGGTAACATAAGATTAAAATTAGCTAATATCTAAGTTATCAATCAAAAAATCTGCGATGCAATTCTAATATGATATAGAGTGAATTCCGTACATAGAATGAAATGTACACTGAAATATCATTTAGTAGTTACTTTAAGCAACGATTAGACTGAAACACCTTTTCTAAGTCATTAAGAAAGGAGTGTAAGTATTAAAAACACAATCACTGAAAATTTGCGAAAACCACTCATTGTTAAGAAAATAATATTCCTGAATAACGATCTCATTTGATATGAGGCTATTCAAGCATTACTGAAATCTTTATTCCTTAAAAACAAAAGCACAAACAAATAAATAAAATAAACTTAAAAAAAGAAAATCTGAATGGTTTCAGACTTTAAATTACGTCCAAAGGGGCGTTTTTTAAGATTCCTGTGTGTTACCTTTATTTATTAAATATCATGTTCTTCACAGTTAAACTAAAAAATTCAATTCAAGAGCAATATCGCAAAATAATTTTAAATTGTGCATATCTTTAGAATTTCCGATTACACAGTCTCACGCGCTAGAGATAAAAATGTTTTTTCTGTACAACGTTGCCATTGCTCGCTTTGAAATCCTTGAGTTTGTTAATTAAAAAATTCGTTATAGTTTTATAAAACAGGAAATCGATAATAAAACAGATTTCAAAGTTGGGCTTCCATATGCCCATATTCGCAGTAGGATTACGTTATTCAAAATTGGATGGCTCTAGGTACCGTTGTTTGATCACAATGAGAGAACCATACATAAATTTATGAAAATTCTTCATTATTTATTTTTCAAATATAATACAGGGCGATAATATTTGGTGGCAACAGTTTGAAAAGTGAAACGGGCATTCAAGTGATTCGACGCAAAATGGCAAAGTGAAAACTATAGTTCCTCAGGGACAAAAGCCCCTTTGGACAAACAATACTGGAAAAATGCTAGTCGTTATATGTAAATACATGTATAAACCGTACATTATTCTATATTCTGAGAATACTTTCTTCTTCTGACCAGTTGGACATTAATTAGACGATGAGCTCCCGAACAACAAGCACTAATCTTTTGTAGAGCAACAAGCTCTACAATTAGCTACTATGAACAAGTTTCCGTTAAAACGCTCTCCACGAAGCCATCCCTTCCCTTAAGCAAATAGCCTTTGTGTTGTTTGCTGTAATTCACAATACCTTAATTTGCTGTAAAAGTAGCCCAGAATTAACCTGCCCTAAAATGCAAGTTCAGTAAATACCTTAAAACATTTTTTTTTGAAAAATTCTATTGAAATTTTAATGAATTTCTGAAAATGTAATTTAACATTTAAACGTGCTTTTTATACCTCGGAGAAATAAATTCATTAACTTCCTAAAGTGCAAAAAGCAAGCTTAATGAAATCTCCGTTTGTAAGTCGGAGAGTACTGAAAATCTTTATGTTGAAATTACAATATTCCTTTTAATTTCTTGTTACAGGTACTTAATTTTTATATCGGAAACGAACCTTCAGCAACTAATCAGCATCCTGCGAAATCTGAAGCATCCGTTAAGTAGGTTATTAAAGTTTTTCCTGTAATGTTTCTTGTTTTTCAGATTTCATTACTAGAAATACTATGAGAGGAATTTAAGTATGCCGTGATTTAGATATTGAATATTAATAATACAATCTCAAAAAGTTTATAATGTACACTTTTTTCTGCTAAAAGTATATTAAATTCTTGTCAGTTAAAATTTTTTAATCCATATTTTCAGATTTATTTGCAGTGAACCGCATTCATTACATCTGAAACTCTATAAAAAGAAAAGTAAAAAGCAACTTCAGCAGGAAAATATTGTAAAAGTAAGTAATTTATTTAGATATAAATTAAATAAAAAAAAGGCCTTTTTCAATACAGTATTATGAGAAGTAGCAAATCTTTTCAAACCCTACAATAATACATAAATATTCTCTGGTTTTTATCATTAAAGGTTTCTTGGGTCTGTGAATTTCAGTGAAAAACTTATACTGGAGTTCTTCTAATTGTTTGGTTATTCAATTTGTAATTATTTACCTACATGTGTCGCCTGAATAGATGATTTAAAAAATGTTAAAAGCACCTATTAATTTTATTTCACTTTCTTGTGTTCAAATACCTTCTTGTAAAAATTTGTACGTAATTTTGTTTTACTTCGTAAAATTATTTACACAATGAAAAGAGGGTATTGAATTTTTACCTCTTTCTAATACGACTCGGTAATTCTAAAGCCTCAAATTCGAGCACTAATCTTGCAGGTACCACCTGACGCGATGCACTGATGGTAAAACACTGATGCCTTTGTCCGCTGTCAACAATTCTTTCAAAGTGTTGTATCACTGCGATGATTTTCAGTCTTTCTATGATTTCCATGCAACGTTTCATGCTCACTGAAAACAGGATAATTCCAAGTAAATCAAAACTATTTAGATGTCCAGTGAAGAATTAGATCGATTTACCTTCAGGAATGACTTTCATTCCAATTTTTTTTTTTTTTTTTTTTTTTTCCCCAGTTGTTCGGTTTTGAGAGACATCACAATTAATTGCACTGGCCTTCTGTAAACGTTTCTTGCAGTCATCCAACACGTCTTATAAGTAATTTTTTTAGATTTCTTTAAGACCATTTTTTCATGTTTCATCGGGGTAGCGTCTTTATAGTAGATATGATGTCAGCTTTGGAGAAGAGGCCACTCCAAGCCATATGTGGATAAAGAACATGTTTAGTGCTATTTTTGGCCAACTATTCCGTCACAGCTTTTACCGAATGAGTACGACACAGTCCTGATGAAAGCATCAAAATGAAGGATGCAATTCTGGTCATTAACTTTCGCAGTTACATCAAACATAGCGAAACATACCAAGAGGCAATTATTCTGGTTGGAAAAACATGGTATTTATGTACCATACTTTCTTCCTCTTTCGCTTGATTATCTCCTTGAACTATCGAATGCTGTAGAATGAAACATGTCCTTATAAATGTAATTTCCGCAGTATTTTGTATGACTCTATTACCATTTTATGCAACTGGAAGCAGATATTTGAGATTTATAGATGCTGTTTGTTCGTTGTAAGTAGCATTCATTTTGGATAAAGGAGCAATATGCTGTCATTTGTAAGAATGACAAATGAAATTATCGTCGTTATAAATAGGGGCTTTTCAAAAATACAATTTTGGTTATAAAGCTGCTACACAGCTCCTGCGAAACCAAAATAAAAAAAAAGTCAGTCTCCTTCCTTATCAGACGGTTCTCGTAGCTAATTATATGGACTATCGTTTTCCATGCGTGTTTCTAGAGATGTGGCAAAATTGTTGAATCGACAGCGCATAATATCTTTCTGATCTGTAGGCTTCACTGATATCGTATCAATAAGTTTTAACTTATTGATACAATATCAGTGGTACCACTGTAATTGTGTGGATTATTATGCTTTCCAATGCGGAAAGTGGGAAAAATCAAGAGTTTCATCGCTAAGATTCGAACCATTGGCTTTCAGCTCCTAAGTGGATTTTCAAACCGCAAGATGGCACAGAGCATACGCGATGAACTGCAGTAATTGCTTGCATACTTTAAATGTTTAACAAAATATCAAGTAAATTAGTATTTGGTTTTATAAAACAAATCGTTAAGATTTTAACTGTACGTGATCTCTGAGCTGATTAACAGAAATTTTTGGAAATATTTTTGACTGAACGAAATCTATTGTCATCCGTTGTCAAAGGTATTTTATTATCTCTCTACATTACAATAATGAATGCTTTATTGAAATAGGCACTTTTACAAGTATCACACCTAAAATTCTAATTTATTTATCACGATTTTTCTTAAAGCTTTGTTTTGGTATTACAGAAAAGAAACTAAATCTATTTTGCTTTCCCAATTTTACAGGTTCCTTTCTACGGTAGCAAGACTTTTGAAATTGATATATGGGTTAAAGATGAAAAAGGTCGTAAATTTTGCAATATCTCCTCATTAAGTGTGGAGTGGGAAGTGTCGGACAAGACACTTGCAGAACCGGATATTTATTCAGATTTTATGACTTACGAAAATGCCGTATCTGGCTACAGAAAAGTTTCTAGAGGTAAGGATGAATGACTTTTATACCCTTTGAAATTGCTCAAAGCGATTGTAAGACCTAACAGAAAATGCGGCAAAAAGTCCTTTCTTGAAGAGCCTTTCTCTTTTTTTTTTTTTTTTTTTTTTTTTTTTTTTTTTTTTTACACTGTGACTTTACAATTTTTAAAACGGGACACATTTGTCAAGATATTTAGACTAAGTCTGATTCTTAATTGCTCTCATAATAATAATAAGCTTTTCATAATATATATACGAATATTTTACGCTAAAATATATTATGGCGCACTTTAAAGACTGAAGAAATAAAGTTGTAATAATATGCTATTACGTATTAATTAATTAAAAGAAAAAAGCATATTTTATGTTATAGGACCATCCGCGCAAAACAATTTTCTGCAGCAAGATGTATGCACCAACACTGGACACCACTAAATTAAATGTTCTTATATTTTATAAAAATACCTTTCTTTTCAAAATAAGCGTTGTCAGTAAAAAAATTTTAGAGCTTGTTTTTTTATTTCTATTTTTCTTACTACCCCTTTTTTGTTCGCTTGTTTTGTTTATTGAAATAATTAATGGATATCTTTATAACGCTTAAAATTTTTGACTACAGTCTGAATGAGTTGACTAAAGTACATACGTTCGCCGAACATAGCAAGTTGAAGCATATGTTTCAACTTGAAGAAGAGAAAAATGAAAGAAAAATGTTTGCGCATGTTGAACTATATCAGTGAAGATGCAAGAAAAATTGCTCTGGGAGTGGCATGAATTTTCCAGTTTGACATTCTTGAACTTAAATATGATAAAAGTACAATATATTATTAAACAGTTTGGGAGAAAGGAAATTTTTCAGTTGAATGTATTTTAATAGAAGATTCTAGGTGTGATAATAAATGGATTACCGTTCCTGTATAAAACTGGAAATTTATTTTTGGTGCCATGGGAAAGTTGTCGTGTCAGTGGCATTATTTTTCGTTCGGTGAGTAAATACATTTGTAGGAAGTGCATGACGCTGGCCTAGTGATATAATGAACATTCCGCAAAACAAAGAAAGTTCAACTTTATCTGTTGATTATTAAGTTAAACTCATAAAAAATAATACGCCTTTAAATACACATAAATGGCTCACAGCGGCCGAGCGGCAGAAGCCGCTCATTACTGGTATTTCGGTCCGGGGTTCGAGTCCCGGCGAGCGGTCTGGCTGCATGAACATTTTCGTCGTTTTCCCCATGTGTAATGTGGATAGGAGTCTGTTTTCCTTAAAAAGATCTCCACGGGGCTAGCGTCCCTTTCCGTGTAGGGCCAAAGGGCAGACTACGTAATAAGTTTTAAAAAAATACTCATAAACTACTTTTAATTTTCTCTTTTATGGAAGGCAGTTGTGGTTTTCGCATCTTTTGACATATCGTTGTTAGAAGGAAGGACAGCCGGTTCGAATTACATGCCCCGGCTGTCTGAAAGCTAATTTTTCGGAACCCTCCTTTTTTTTTTTTATTAAAAATCTCAAGAAAATTGACTTGAGTGCCATTTCTTTTTTGTTGATAAAATTCTCAATTTAAAATAATTAACGGTAAAAAAAAATTTTTAAATGAAATAATTAACAAGATTCAAGACTATTTACGCAAAATTACTACAGAGTGATCAGCGAATAAGCTCTGATTTCAAAATTAATTCAAAATTAATTTTGTTATTTTCGACATTAATTTAATTTTGAAATCAGGGCTTATTCGCTGATCACCCCATATTTCTCAAAAACGCAAATTTCATTATAATTTGGCCGTTCACTTTGACCGCCAGTTTTTTTCCCCTGTTATTCGTAAAAATAGCCCTTTTTTTTATTTAAAGCAAATACGCATTATTCTAAGAACGTAATTACTCTTAACATTGATTTTCTTATTATCTTGTATACTATCAAAGAGCCCGTTTTACAATCATTACCAGGGCTCACAGATTCTCTCTACGGCACTGCATGTTGTAAGGGTTTAAGCAACTAATATCCCAAGATTTATGAATTTACTCATTTATTATTATTTGCTCTGATAACTGTAAAATACAAGTCTATTGATTGAATTTTATGGTCCAGATGCGAATTATTATGGTATATAATTATGTATTTATTCAACAACTAAGAAAGCGTTCTCTAGCAGCGCTTTCTTCCACTGCCGGAAAGGAGATGAGTCACAGGATGTATAGTATAAATAAAATAGCAACGTCACCGGATGGGGTCCAAGAAAGGCTTATTTGGGAAAGCGAAGTGTTTCCACTCTTTTGCCGCCCTCGGAAGCAATAAATGTCTCAGTCCTCTTCATTCACCGCGTTTAGGGTTTTCCCCGATTCATTATACAGCACTGAGAAAGAGTACGCAACTATAAACGTAATTATAGCGGATTACCAACGTATTCCATTTATAGAACTAGATGGCGTCTGAATTTTCTTTGAAGCGGATGTTAGTACTATAAAACGGATGTTGGTTATGTTTTTAAAGTTCATGTTTCTTTTCTTAAAATTTTTAAAACGCGGAGTGTTTATCATCATCTTTCGTTTTCTTGATTTATTTTAAGCATAATTGTTCAAACGTTATTTACAATTGTAAATAAATTAGAAACGAAATTGGTACCAGCGGCGTATCTTGAATTATCACGACAGCATGCTGCTTAACAGCAGACTTAAAAAAAAAATATGTTAATTTGTGGGAGTTATAGCAGTAGATGTGTTTTATAGTTGACTGCATTATTTGTGTATTAACTTTGTTAAATATTGCACAGCTTAGAAAATAAAGGGCTCATGATAAAAGTGTAAAATTCATCAATTTTGAAGAATGCAGTAGAGATCTTTACAAAATTTTTAATTAGTTAGGATCATTAGAATGTAGATTTCATTTTCTTTAAGATTTATCAAATACAAATTTAGAGTTAATTTTTTTTCTAAATTTGATCGAATAAAAGTTCGTGAAAATTAGTTTTGAAGTAGAAATTTTCTCTTCATTTGCATTTCTGCTTGTACACATTATAATTTCACAATACACTTAACTGGCTTCACATTTTTCAACGCACATTGTACTTTTTAGAAAGAAGTCCATTTACTGTTGCTTGCTGTAGGACTATACGTTTTGAAACAGACTGAGAAATTACGGTTTCGATTCTGTGGTATTCATAGAAACTTTTAAGTTGCTATCTAATATATCATTTTAAACAATAAGAAATATTCGCGGACAACTCTACTTACTTTTTATCCACTTATGTAAATTTAGCAGTTTTATGTAATTTTACTTATTTTTTGGCTGATCAGACTGATTAAACTGATTAAAATCTTAAGCGGCAGCTTTTTTTTTTCCGAAGAAATCTTTATAATTTATTACTCGATTTAAAATTCCATTACCCTTATTATTAAGAATTTATAATTCTTTGCATCTGTTGTCTTCTAGATCTTCAAGTTTGAAAAACACTAAGCATATTCTAATAACAGCGAAATGTTTCGTGTCTTAAAATAGTGTGGTGTGCGTGCGAGTTCGAAATGGATTGAATGTACACAGAATCGATGATAGCTTGATAAAATTTATTTTCTCAAAACAAACACATTACAGTTCTGGAAATTTCCACAAAAGTACATACATGTACAGCTCTTCTCACAAGTGTAGAACACAATCAGTAAGTACCACTTCAAACTACTAAGAACGTTAAACGCACTATATTGCAAAGCTCGTTCAAAGAACGAAGATCTCTTGGAGATAGATCTCTTAATGCTTCGAACTAAACTCTGAACTAAAAACTGAGATTTGATGCTCTCTCCTGTCTTATATAGTTTTCCCTGGGTCGCCGAGAAACCTCTAGCACCTTCCATTTTCCGAAATTACTGAAATTATATATAAGAGCCGGATATAATAGTTTCATATAGGATATAATAGTTTCATATAGGGATGAGCTACAATTATTCAGTTGCAGTTATACAGGGACTGAACCAAAATGTCGCCAAATAATCGCCGAGTTTGGCGAGTTTTGGTGATTTTTCGCCAAATTTGGGGACAGAAATTATTCACTAAAACTCTCGCCAAGTTGGCGATATCTCGCCATTTACCTCAATTTTATACAGACTTGGCCCTATGATCTTATTTTTTTGCGGTACAGCTTTGCATTTTCAAGGCGGTTCGTGTTACATTATACAAGAGATACTGTAATTCTGCATATAATGCCACTAAAATTAATTACAAATATACAGAATTCGTAGCATAGAAACTAATAACACAGTAAAGTTGTTAAATTAATGTTCACCGGTAAACACTGTCCGTCTGATGGCGCCGAGAATATCTGTTGAAGTATATCCTTTAAAAGTACATAGCGCTGTTTTTAGCTATGCTTCAAATTTCTAAGAAAGACCTTATAAACAGAACAACTCAGTGCCATATGGAACTTTGAAAGATGCTTAGAAATAAAAATAAGCCAACCTTCAATTCAATATTGAACAATGTTAGAAACAGAAAAGCCAAGTATCTTAGAAAAATGTGGTGTTATTTCTTATTACGCTTGTATCGTATTACTGATAACACACTGCGCTAAATTTTCAGTGGTAAGTAAGGAATATTCTCTTCTTATAGCTCTGATGCTACGGCATGCTATTCTTCCCTTACTTGAATTGTCGGAAAAAGGCGAGAAAGAGGGAAGCCCTCTTTAGCCGTGTTTTGTCAACAAATGAGGTAATTCTGCATTATGCACTGTCCTCATTGTGCGGTATGAGCAGAAAGAAACACAACGTGGCAGCGCGTAATTCGTTTCTTTTTGAATTTCTGATGCGAAAATCGATTAGTGCATAACTACAATCGAATTAGTGCATAACTGCGGATTATACATAGTTAGCTATATTGAGGCATTAAAATACTTATTAACTGCGTTTAATCTGTAAATGTATTTTAGCCATGCCGGCTACCTTATCGTTGGAATCTTCTCCGGGATCGAATCCCGGAGAAGGCATGGATGATTTTAAGTGTATAGTGTCTTCTGTGCGGCATGGCTGTTCTCGAGTGGTTTGTGATTGCGAAATAGGGGTAAAGGACCTTTAGATCCGTCCCCCAGGGCGTTCTGCGTCAAAATCTGGGTTGGTTAGATTTACCTGATTATAGGAAAGCAAAACCACACTAGGTAATCTGCCTAAAGAAAGGGATGCATTCTTGGAGAGATTTTCTAACTCTGGTTTGGAGCTGCCAGTTCTCTGCGGAGTTAATGCGGTGGGACTACACCTGTATGCCCGAAAGGCGTCCACGTAAGCCTTTCTCTCTTGGGCATGATCACCAGAGGGAAAGGACCCCTTTTCCTGGCTGTCTCTCGGACCCCCTGCACAGAATAAAGTCCAGCCTCCTCATATGAGCCTTGCGCCAATTTTTTTGGCTCTCGTAAGTCTTTCTTCATCAGGAGAAAAACGAATTCTCAAATATTTTTGCTCTTGAAGAAGATATCAATTCACCTTCGAAATCGATACAGTTTTATTTAAAATCTACTTCAGTTTAAGATTTTTATTGCCTAGTTTTACACCGAAGAAATATTTAGTCCCGCAGTTTCTATTTAAATTTGTGCGAGCACAAATCTATTTGACCCATTATTATTATAAAATGTGCATAAATCTATTGCAAAGTACTCTACTTTTTTATATTCAGTTCTTTAAAATCTAGATTTCTTTCTTTTATATAGCAGTTGTCGCTTTAGAATGCTCTTTTAGGTATCGGAAGAAAACTATATACATATTACATTTATAAATATTTGGTTGGTTTACATTAAAATAAACTTGTAATGATTTTTATTTCGAGCTTAAAGAGGTTTCATTAAGAGGTATTTAGTGTTTCAGGCTACTGATTCGAAAGATGAATGATAAATCAATAATTAAAAACCACAGTTTCTGGTTCAACTTAAAGATGCAAAACATGCATGAAAATCTGGATTATGTTTTCAGGTAATATTCGCTTTTTTAGATTCTAACTTCTTGTTCGTTCACTTTCAGAATTTAAGGAGTTCAAGATGTCTGGTGGAACTGGGGACTTGGTAGTGAGCGCCAAAATCGTTAAGTATCGGAAGGACGTATTAATTAAAGAAGAGATTTCAGATTTTGTAAGTAATATTAATCATTTAAAATGTTGGAGTAAAAGTTTATCATTGAAGTTGTTCATGATGTAACATGCAACATTTCTAAAAATATACACACTAAAATTTATTACTCAGAGTTGTGATATTTGTAATTGCTTCAAGGCTGAATCATAATTGTTTAGATACTGATACAAACTGACTGAATTTTCATTTAATTTAAAATAAGATTGCTTTTATCAATTATTAAATACGAAATTAAAATTTGTATATTATATGTAAATGTTTAAGCAATATACTACTTTCCTAAGCCATTGAGGTTAGTCACTGGAACTGCAATCTACAGTAACTTGCAAAGTCGTATGGTACCACATAATATGCTTATGTGTAAGGAATTATCATATTAAAGTTCATAACTTCTAAATGAGTCTAACATCTCAATGAAGAAATTAATCTAAGCAATACCAGCTTCGCATTTTTAGGGTATTATGCAATGTGGATAAGAAAAGAAAAAGGAGAAAGAGAAAAAAGGAAACACTTTTACCTTCTTTCGTATTCTTCCCCACTTAATCCTGCTTTGGGCTTTCTTCTCCAGAGTCCACACAAACTTCTAGTTTAATTTCATGTATTCTTTTGTTAATGTTTCATCAGCGTACCTGCGTAAGTAATTGTTTTCTTGGTGCTTGCTGCTGGAGTGAATTCCCCCCCCCTCTCCTTGGTATTACCAAGCGAACTGATAGGATTGTTTGGAGATGTATTTTCCCAACTATTGGTTAGATAAATTTGATGCTTCCTTTAAAGTAAGCTTTTAAAGTTACAGACAAAAATAAATCTAAATTAGTTATTTTTTTAAAATCTTCATAATGATCTTTCTGGCGTCATAACATTTTTTTCCTGAATTTCATAGTAAAACGATATTTTTTTTTTAAGTTTGTGCATTTTATTATTATGTTTCATAGCAAACATTAGTTGAGATGTCCATAATATTTCAAACTTTTTCATTCAAAATAACAACAATATTAATACAATATAAATACTAAGAATTATACTCAGGTATTGAAAATGTATTATACATTTTGCAAAGTAGATTCTTACTTCTTTTCTAAATTTCCTCTCATCTCCGCAAATTGATGTGGAAGAAACTATGCTCATTTATTGTTTACAAAATTGTCATAATATCGAACTCAAAAGCTCATCATTTGCGTACGAGCAAACTATTTCTGAATTATTGAAGCTTTGCCGATTTCTCATTGTATCTAATTGAATGTCAATCGACCGAGTGCGCTCTCGCAACTTAAGCATAATAATTAAATTATGTATTCTTAAATAGCAGAAGTCTAGGAACTAGTTAGAGCTACTATCATATTAAATGAATTTTTCATTAACTGCTCCTTGTTAGCTACAAGAACAATTCTTAATTGAGAAAACATTACTTTTGATTAATCTTGATACATATTTCCATCATTTACTGTGAAATATTTATTACTGAATCATTGTTATTGATATGATAGCGATAGCTATAATTTCAGCTGAGATGATTATTGGTTTGCTCATGAACTGTACTTTTTTTTTTATTTAGAAGGAATTTCCTGAAATTTCTAGCTCACTTGATTTGAAGTTAGTAAGTCTACGAGATATTAATGCTGGCTTATATTCTCTTGATGAAGAAGGAAAGGTAATTATGTAATTTATACTTTCAAAAGTAATATTTATTGCTTGCAATTTTTATTTGAAAGCAATAAGTATTATCATCATGTGAAATAAAAAAATGCAATTTTTGTAAATCAGAAGAATATTAATTAGTATAACAGGTGATTAATTAGCTGTTTTTTATTTGCTAAACATTATGTTTCATACCTTGTACTTCATAAGTTTCTGTAGATGTTAGATTTAAAGCAAAATAAGATTTTTATAGCTATAACAATGCATTATTTTTCAGCGACAATAAACTTAAAAAGGCCATTTTCTTGCTATCCTTATTCTGCTGGTCTTCGTAAATTAAAATAGTGTTAAATAATGCTTTGAAAATTAACGACATAAATATGTTTATTTATTTGCTCATTTAGTTCATGGAATCTGCAACATTCTAGCCATATGAAAGATATATATATATATATATACACGTATATATACAGTTAAAATTTTTACTTGCAGTTTTTATCGTTTTCTAACATTTATTAATGTAATAGATCAAAATTAAGGTGATATTCTGTACTAAGGGTTTCAAAACATAAAAGGAAATATAAATGCAAATCTCTTTTACGTAATAGCGAATTCAATAAAATTTTTATGAAGAGAAAAAGGAGAGCAATTTAATCATTACGTTTTTTTAATGCTTAATAAACAGTTATTAAAATTGAATACTGTATTATAAAATGGTATTGCTCCAAAACTGCTGCATTCATCAGAATGATTAAAATGTCTATTTGCTTTGGTTTTATTTGATTTATGGCAAGCAGACAAGAGCTATCTGCCCAAGCGGACGGATGCCTTAGTGGAGTATTTTCTAATTGAAACTAGCTCGTATTCACGTTAGACGTGGAGAAAACAACGAAAACGCCCATGCAGCCAGCCCGTTCGCCGGGATTCTAACCCAGGTCGGAACTACCTGAGTTCAACGATTTTATCGCTCAACCACTAATGGGCCTAGAAATGTCTGAAGTCTTTTTCATACGTAAGAAGTTTGTTCACCCTACTTGTCGCACGGCGTTCAAAATAGTATTCGGGTTGGGTTACTTTGGATTCCGGCTAAGCATGCGAGGGATTTCTGCCGAAAGGGAAGGGTCTTCGTGGAGGACTTTCTAAGCGAAACAATAATCAAACTCTAACCCTAAATCTAAAACGCCATAACCATTTAATCATGTCTGAAAGAAAATCAGAAAGGCTTTCTTAGTTTCCTGGTCTTACAGAGTACCGAGGATCCACCAGCGGCCAAGCGGGAAAGACGATGAACACTAGTAGTTCCGACCTGGGTTCGAATGCAGGCAAACGGGCTGGCTGCATGGCATTTTCGTGGTTTTCGTGTGTGTAAGGTGTATAAGAACTAGTTTCCCTTAAAACGTCCTTCACGAAGACATCCCTCCCATTATGCAATTAGTCCTAGCGTGCTTTGTCATAATAAGCTAAACCAAACCAAAATCCAGAGTACTGATTTTATTTCCCTGGGCTTCTTTTTCTGGTTACAAGCTAAGAATGCTATGTATGATGAACACATTTTGGATATGCAGCATTTTATATAAGAGGATCGCAGCAGCCACTAAAAGACTGAATATAGCTTCACTCGACAAATAAAGGGCACACCGAAATTTATTTATATTATTACAAAAATTTCCCGTATTTCTTCACCTTTTAATATTTGAATCATTTCGACGAGTTTATAGATTTTGAGTTTTACGTTTTCAGAATCCAAGCATTGTTTCCCGATAACCTTTTGTTTCTGTTAAGTTTTTGTTCTGTAATTCTATGCTCTCTTTGTATCAATTAATATTTTAGCATTTTGAAATTAAATCTTGGATGAATAATTCGTAACTGCTGTATTTCTATCGAATTACAGTAGAACTCTAGACAAGCCTTGCTACGGCATTTTCGGCGCCTTAGGCGCTTAATAACATTTGACGCCCCATATCAACTGAAAGCCAAATACACTTTTTTTTAGTTGTCGCTCATGAAAATTGCTTTACTGGGCCCTTCGAAAATCGGCGCCCTAGGCAATTGCCAACATCGCCAGTGCTTGAAGCCGGACCTGATTCCAGTTACCTAAATCTGTCTCCAGTTGCAACTACCCAAATCATCTGTTAACCTTCCTACGGCGAATTAAATTAAAGCTTGTCATTACCTTATTTAGGGGTTTTAATTTTTCCTCGATTTGAGTCAAGTAATAAATTTACGAGTTGTAAATTTTCATTATTAACGTACAGATTACTACTTTGCGTGAAAAAAAAAAAAAAAAAAAAAAAAGTACTTTTCCGTTTTGCCGGCGCAAACGATAAAGTCGCCAATAATGGTACAACTGATGCCAAACGGAATATCTTCGTGGTAACCTTTTACCCTTCATTTTCGAAACAAGTCGCAGCCATTTATCAGATTGATTGTTTCTTTCAATACTGGAGTACAATTACAGAGAATTTTTACTAGTTAAATTTTATGACTTAAGACCATTCGCGGTAATTAATTAAGATGCAATCACATCACTCACTCGAAGGCGAAAATATAGAAAAGGCGAAATCAAGGATTAAATTCATCAGATACAATGAGAATGTCCTAGCGAAGTAAAGCAGTGCGGTTTTACATAATTTCTGAGTAAGCTATTCGTACTAATTGAATTAATTCTTGCATTTAAACTTGTAGTCCATAAAATTTAATTTAAAGTTTAACGTGGTCGAAAACTTGAAATTAATGTAGATAATTACTGAGAGGTGGTGTGGTGGTGGCGTATTTAATTACAGCAAAGCACACTAGGGCTATCTGCCTAAGAGGAGGGATGCCTTTCGTGGAGGACTTTCTAAGGGAAACTGGCTCGTATACACGTTACACATGGGAAAAACCACGAAAACACCCATGCAGCCAGCCCGTTCGCGGGATTCGAACCTCGGACCGAACTACCAGTGTTCAGCGACTTTACCGCTCGGCCGCTGGTGGGCTAATTACTGAGAGAATTAGATTTTTGTAGCGTAGTTTTACGTGCGATAAGATCACTTGGGGTTACGTGATACGAACCAGCGAATCAGGATGTTGAACCATGAAAACATAGTAAATTCTTAAATTAATGCCTTTTTGCAAATCTTAGAACTAACATTTGTTAACATTTTTTATGTATATACTGTATGCTGTCGCCAAGTCTGTTTGGCGAGATTTGCGGAAAAAAAAAAAAAAAAAAAAAGGCTTAGTTTAATTTTAGGTGAACAGAAACAGGTTAGAAAATCTTTTTGTTTTGCTGAAACGAATTAAATTCTCCGCTTAATTTAGTTGAAAGTAGAGAAAAATCCACTGAATATTTTATTTAAAAGGTTTATGTGAATAAAGGTTTATTTAAAGATCTGCGTCATGTTACCATTTTATTTGCAGTTTAAATAGAAATGGATTGTCTATATAGGCAAATGTAAAATGGTTTCATTCTTTAATTTTGAAAAAATAAAGCATATTTTGTATTTATTTTACAAAAATAATTTTTTAACTGTATAATCTTTTAAAAAATACAATGCATTGAGCGAAATAATAAAATTCCTTCACTTGCATTACGATAAATATATATTTGTGCTACAGAAATAAGAACATTTAGTTACTGGATTTTTTGGATATCCGGATCAGTTGTCTCTTATTTAATAAAATATTTTTTTCGTTCTGGTTTTTTAAAACTTTGAGTTGAAAACTTGTTTCTTAAATGCTGAAAAATTAACATGAAATTTGCCAATAAATTAATAATAATGAAGCTTGCAATACGAAAATTTCAGATAGCATTATGAAGTTAAGGAAAACGAGTTAAAGGAAACGTTTGAAGGAAAAGGAGCGATTTTACCATTTTTTTTAATTAAAACAAATGTGTAAAAAATTAAAAAATAGGCAAAGTTTGTAAAAAAAAATTGCTTCTGTTCTTAAATAAAACAAAGGACGAAGAAGAATGAAAAGATAAACCTAGTTCTTTGATCTGCAAAATTTGGGCAAAATAGGATAACATTTCACGTAATGTGACCATCCTTATAAAGCAGTAGCAAGCTAGAGTGAATGCTATGTCTCACTTTAGTACTTTAGGAAGCTTTTAAAACGTGGTCAAAAACAAATCACATTTGATAAATTTTGAGTGAAACACAGGACCAGTGAGACTTAAGACCAGTCAAGTAACCATTTAAAAACAAAAGCCTTTACGTGATGTTTTCATGGAAGGACCAAAAATCATCTCATGGATCCTCATCCAAACAATTATAGAAACCCTTTTCCTCACTTTTATCACTGTTTACTCAAGATTTGGCCCCCCCCCGCCCCCGTTAGCCTTGAATGGAAAACGTTTCTAAAATTTGATAACGTCATTCTAAAATTTCGTAACATCGATTTGGCGGCGGCTGAATGCTGTGCCCGCAGACGCATGTTCCCCACCTTGCTTACCCATATTTAGCCTCTGTTCAGTTACGCCGTCCACCCTTCTTCGTATAGGACTAGTAAAATTAAATTTTCGTCTACTTTGTTTATTCATTATTTATGATTCCTTCTTAGATTTATTATTTTCAGTTGGTTTTGTGTTATAAACTTGTGAATAAAGTAATTGAATTTTAAATTAGCAGTCATTTGGGGTCCAGAAGCGGATTAATCAGTGTTTCATTATTTCCTACGGAGAAAATAGTTTCGGCTTGCGAGCATTTCGAATGAAATTTGTGAACCCACGTTTCAGTGTATTTCTTTCTCTTAAAATCATTAATTTACGGTATTATTTTTAAATTATTTGTTGTAGTTACAGATATTTAAATGTTACCCAGTTAAGGCATGGTTAAGAGAAGCTGTGAAACCATATAAAATCTAGTTTGAAATTATACAAATTTGTACAATAAAATGAAATTTCATTAAGTGTGTATTAATTTAGTACGGTTCCAATGTAAAATCGCACTTTGCTGTTTTCTGCGAATTGATGATGAATTAGGCATTCGTAAAAAGCTTTCGAAATAACTTCTATGTCAGTGCGTGATT